GCCTGCCTCCTGCGCTGTGAAATGGAAATCACATTTGCCTAATACTGTTATTGTGTGAAGCCTAAAGACAATGAATATTAAGGACTTGGAAATAGGAGGAGCGCTTCAACTTTCAACAACAAAAACATCCTACCTACTGTTATTTCTGCGAACAACAGTGCTTACTGGCTTATTTTCGGTAAGTTCAGGTCGGAGTTCTTCGAATTCTAAGAAAACCAAGGCCGCTCTCAGGCCTCAGCTTCTTCGAGGCCCTCATCACCGATCAACAACCCACTCCTGGGCCGCATCCCCTTTTGGAAACGACCTTTTCGCGTTCCCTCACTCGAACCCAAACCTCATTTTCCTGCTCGACGGTAAGTTCCAAGAGCCCTTCTCCTGGGCCCAGGCCGAGGCCCCCGCAGGCCCCTGGCTCGGACGTCCTTCCAGCCCCCGGGGGCCGCGCTGCCAACTCGGGCTCTGGCCCCGGTGTTGGCCGCCTCCTGGGGCTCGGCCCCGAACACGGCCTCACACCGCTGGCTCCCCGGCTCGGGCCCGGCGCCAGCTCCCCTGGAAACGCCGCCGGACGGGGAGCTGAGCAGCCTTCCACGAACCCGCTCCGGCCTCAGTTTCCCCGGCGGCTGCACGAGCGCGCCCTCGTCGCTCAGGATCCGGGGGGGAGACGCCCCAAACGGCCCCCCGGCGCTCCGGGACCCCGCAGAGCCGCAAACTAACCTGCAAGTGACCTGTTTGGTGCTCATGGTGGTCGGGATCGAGGGCCGTGGTCGTCCTACCGCCTCCCCTTAGTCTGGCCGCCGCCGTCGCCGCCTCGGCCCTGCCACTCCCGCGCGGCCGCGTCACGACGGCACACGGCGTACGCCGCCCCGCCTCCCCGTGCGCACCTTTGTAGCGCCGGCCGGAAACCTCGCCGCCGTCACAATTGGTTCCGCCCCGGTGTGGAGGCAGAGCGGATCCTCAGGGCCTGCATTCCTCGTCCCGCCATTTCCAAAACTAGCGGGCTCCCTAGTTTTGATGGTCTTGATACAGAGTGCGGTTAGCCCCTACGGGTCTGCCCCTTCTCCAAGAGCTTTCCTTAGCGACTGCTCGCGTCCCTAGAGCTACCTCACCTCTCGGGCGGCTAAGCTCCCGCCTCTCCTCTGCGCATCTTAATCCCAAACACCTGCCCTGTATGTAGATGTATTCTCCTGGACCCCTTACTCAGGCCCTGCCTCAACGGTTACCGTCAGACCTCGTCTCCCAAGTAAGGAATCCCGCTTAGACCTCTTCCAATTGCTCTTTTACAAAATCTCTACTCCCCAAATTTTAGTCATTTTCTTTTCAAGCATTTCTCTATTTGTCTTCCATTTCCTATGGTGGAAACCCAGAAATATAGTTTTAAAAAATTATATATATATATATATATAGATAGATAGATAGATATATAGATATATAGATATATAGATATATAGATATATATATAGATATATATATAGATATATATATATAGATATATAGATATATAGATATATAGATATATTGATATATATAGATATATATAGATATATTTTTTTACTTTTTACAGAGAGGAAGGGAGAGGGATAGAGAGTTAGAACATCCACCTAGGGATGTGCCTGCAACCAAGGTACATGCCCTTGACTAGAATCGAACCTGGGACCCTTTGAGTCTGCAGCCTGACGCTCTATCCACTGAGCCAAACAGGTTAGGGCCCAGAAAGGTAATTCTTGACACGTTACTCTGGTTCTCTGTATCCTGCAAAAGCTGCACCTACATTTGAGAGCAGACCCTGCCCTCCAATGAATCCTCTTGTCTCCATTTCTACTTTTATGGTTCTAGTCTGAGCAACCCTCACTCCTCAGCTGGGCCCACGCAAGGGCCTCTTAACTGCTCTTCTGGCTTCTGCTCCTGCCCCCTGCTAGTCAGTTGTTATACAAAACCTATTTTGTTAAAAGTAAATCAGATCATGTCATTAAACTCTTTTAATTTCAATGATTTCCTATTGCCTTTAAAAAAAATTCTTAAAAAATTTTTAAAACATTGAAATATAACAGACAAAACACATATGCTCCCATGAATTTTACATATGTATACACTGGTGAAACCACCACCCAGATAAAAGAACATTATCAATACCCCAGAGGGCTCCCTTACGCCCCTTTCCAATCAATAGCTCCCAACGATAAGTGTAAATCTCACCTCTATCATCATAAATTAGATTGTTCTTGACCTTGATATAAATGAAATAATTCAGTATGTACTTTTTTTTTCCTTTTTATCTGTGTACCTATCTCAGTATGTACTCTTTGTCTTCTTTTGACCAATATTATACCTGTGAGACCTATATGTGATGTAAAAACATGTAGCTGTCAGTGTTGATGTAAACATACTATGAGAACTATAACTGTATGTAGTTCTTTTACTTTGCTTTTGTAAAAGTATTGCCTTCCAATGAATGAGCACAGTATATACTTCCAATTAGAACTTTTGAAATTTCAGAAATTTAGGAACTACATTGGGAAATTTGTCATTTTCAGTGTACAGGTCTCTGACAGCTTTTATTAGATGTATTCCTAGGTATCTAAATGGTTTTTGGGATGCTGTTTTAAATGATATTTTTTTAAAATGTCCTAATTGTTGTTGCTTGTTCCATGCTATATTTATGTATTAATTCTAATGGTTTGTTTGTTGATTGTTTTGGATTTTCTACACACACAATCATGCCATCAGCAAATAATGAGTTTTACTTAATTTTCAATATTTATATATTTTCTTTTTTTAATTTTTATTTATTGATCTTGGAGAGAGAGAGAGGAAGACAGAGAGAGGAGTGAGTTGTTGTTCCATTTATTTATGTACCCATTGGCTGATTCTTGTGTGCCCTGGATCAGGACTGAACCCACAACCTTGGTGTATCAGGACAATGCTTGAACCAACTGAGCTATCCTTTATTTCTTTTTCTTGGCTTACTGCTGAGAACTCTCAGTGTAACCTTAAATAAAAGTGGTAACAGTGGACAACCTTGTCATGTTCCTGAATTCAGGGAAATTATTTAGTATCTCACCGTTAATTAAAATGTTAGCTCTAGGGTTTTTGAAGCTATCCATTATCAAATTAGAGTTTTTAAAAAATATATATTTTATTGATTTTTACAAAGAGGAAGGGAGAGTTATTGTAGAAACATCAATGAGAGAGAAACATTGATCAGCTGCCTCCTGCATGCCCCCTACTGGAAACCAAGGTACATGCTTTTGACTAGAATTAAACCTGGGACCCTTCAGTCCACAGGCCAACACTCTATCCACTGAGCCAAACCGGTTAGGGCTTCTTAGAATTTTTATCATGAACATATATTAAAAAAAAAAAAAAATCCTTCCCCATATATCAAAAAAGCCATATTGTTTTATTTTTTATTCTGTTATATTATTCTTTCTATAAATCATTAGGTCCTATTTGTTAATATTGTGTTTAGGATTTCTTTATCCTTGTTCATGAGAGATAGTGGTCTGTAGTGTTCCTTGAATGTCCATGTCAAGTTTTAATATCTGAGATATGCATGAGTTTGAAAGTCTTTCTTCTTTTCAATTCTCTGAAAATGTCTGTATAATGTAGGTATTACTTTTTTCTTAAATGTTCAGAATATTTATCATGGGAGCCATTTCATCCTGCAGTTTACTTTAGCTTTGTTCATTTTTTGTATTGAATGTATGATTTTTACTTCAGACTTCTGCTCTAATCTTTATTATCTATATTGTTAAGTTCAAATTGTTCTTGTTTTCTAGCTTCTTCTTTTTTAAGTATTTAAAGCTATAATTTTCCCTCTACGCCCCTTTTAGTTGTATTTCACAAGTTTTAATGTCATTATGATTAGACTTGAAATATTTTCTAATTTCTATTGTTATTTATTCTTTGACCATAAATTATTTAGCAGTATGCTGCTTAATTTCTAAACTACTGGGTATTTTCTAGTTAGCCTTTTCTTATTGATTTCTTTTTATTTCTAGTGCAAACCCCCTGTGGAATTGTCTATTATCCTTTTAGTTTGGTTAACACTTGGTATATATTTTTTGAAGTATGTTTTTAGGTTCAAATAAATTTAAGATTGTTCTTCTGTTTTTCCAACACATTATGACCAATAAATTTCCCTCTTTGTGCGAGTTGCCGTGTGATTCAGGACAATGTTATGTCAGTGAAAGAATCTATTCACCTCCTGTTGTACACTATGTAAAGACGTATACAAAAGATTTTTCTGAGAATGCTAGTTGTTCATTGCATCAGGCTACTGTTTGCAGTGAAAGAATGTGTTGACTACAGATAGAATGGTGCATTTAATACACTATATAAAAGATGCTTCTAAGAGTGTTAGTTCAAAAAAAGAAAATATCTCAAAATTAATAGAATTATATCAACTTTCTTTCACGGAGCCACACTGGCCAAGCTAGTTGGTTGGTTTTAAAATGCAGTCTGAGAGCCTCTCACACCCTCTCCTAGTCAGTAAGTACTACCTAGGGTAACCACTATCTTTTTCTTTTCTTTTTTTAAAATATATTTTTATTGATTTTTTTTATAGAGAGGAAGAGAGAGAGAGAGATAAAGAGATAGTTAGAAACATCAATCAGCTGCCTCCTGCACACCCCCTAATGGATTATTCGGCAAGTAATCCAGTGGTTTCGGCAAGTAACCACTATCTTTATTTTTACTGTGCTGTTAATTAAAAAAAAACAAAAAAAAAACCCCACATATATTTTATTGATTTTTTTTTTTTACAGAGAGGAAGAGAGAGGGTTAGAGAGAAACATCTATGAGAGAGAATCATCGATCATCTGCCTCTTGCACATGTGCCCGCAACCAAAGTACATGCCCTTGATCAGAATCAAACCTGGGACCTTTCAGTCTGCAGGCCGACGCTCTATCTACTGAGCCAAACTGGTTTCGGCTGTGCTGTTAATTTTTTATGAGCAAGATTACCTTAACAACATAAAGCATCAAAAGACAGTCACCTCAAAGTAAGGTTACTTATTCAAAACCAAAACGATATAAACTTTTCCTAGACACACACAAAAAAGTGGAGATGCCTAATTCCAAGAGGCGCGTAGACTTATGACTAATTAAAGGACAGTGCCCCGGTGGAAACATGAACCCAGCCCTGCAGGGCCAGGGAACGCTGGAGGAGGCGGAGAAAGTTTTCCCAGAAACCTGCGGCTTTAAAGCATGAGTAGGAGCTGGCTGCCAGCAGAAGCAAAATGTGTGAAGGCTAGAAAAATGGCCTTGTAAGCAAGCACAAACGAAAGGGAAAATGAAAGACACTAGTGTTAGGGGCGGCCTGACTACCGTCCTGGTTAATCCTACCCGGCTTGGCCTCGGAGGCCGTCAATCAGAATGACGTCACAGCCGATCAGGTTGCTCGGGCTGCGGGAATTTGCTACCTGTGCAATCAGGAAAAGGAAGTCTGGGGAAAGCCATGCAGCTCGAAGAGGCCGGAAAGCCTTTAATTAAATTCAACCACTGCAGGAAATGCATCTACAGCTTCAGCGTGCCGCGCTGCTGCCCCCTCTGCCGGCAGGACGTGGGCTCCAGGAAGCTGGAGGAAGCACCTGTCAGCATCTCCAATCCGTTTACTAATGGGCATCAAGAAAAGTGTGCATTCCTCCTCAGGCCAACCGAAGGGACGTTTCTTAGGTACAGTGTTTTGTTTTGTTTTTAATGTGTTGCATTGAATTGTGCAAACTTTCCTCCTGTATTGTAGTCACTAAAACCTTTTACAGTGAGAGTGAAATGTGATGGATAATTCTTTCCAGTTTTTTGGCATTTAATTCTAATATGTGGGCCTATTTATTTTATTCGGTCTAGTAATAATTAATGTCGTTTTCTAATACTTTTTAAAATCGAATTTATTTAAACAATATAACAAAATTTAATCAACAATATAGTTGCCGTTGTTTTCTACTACTTGTGCCCAACGCTCAGGAAGCATTTTAATTCCTCTGTTGTAAAATTCTTGTGATTTTGATGCAAAAAATTCGGTCAATGCATTTTTGAGGCATTCTTCATTATTAAATTTTTTTCCAAGAAGAAAGTTTTGCAAAGAACGAAACAAATGGTAATCGGAAGGGGCAATATCAGGAGAATATGCAGATTGAGGGAGAACTTCCCATTCCAACTGGCGCAGTTTTTCAGCAGTGATTCTTGCAGTATGCGGTCGTGCGTTATCATGGTGAAGAATTACGCCCTTCCGATTAATCAGCACGGGTTCTTTTTCTCTTAAAGCTTGGGCTAACCTTTCCAATTGGGCACTATACACTGCACTTGTAATGGTTTGGTTAGATGGTAAAAGTTCATAATAAAGAATTCCTTTAAAATTCCACCAAACACACAACATCATTTTTTTCGCATGCAAGTCAGGTTTTGGCGTGGGCTGTGGAGCCTCATTTTTGTTTAACCATTGAGGCCGCCTTTTCAAATTAACATACAGCACCCATTTTTCATCTCCGGTAACAATTTGCTCTGAAAACGGCAAACGGTTTTGATGAGAGAGGAGCGAACTGCAAATTGTGACTCTTTGATTACGGTTGTTGTCGGTCAACTCATGAGGAACCCATTTTCCAAATTTTTGGACTTTGCCAAGTGCACGCAATTGATTGGAAATTGTTTTTTGTGAACAATTTAAAGTTGTCGCAAGCTCTTGTTGGGTAATTTGAGGATTTTGCACCAAAAGAGCTTGAAGAGCTTCTTGATCAAAATTAGACACACGGCCTTGACCACTCTTGTCTAACGAAAAATTTCCCTTGCGAAATTTCTCAAACCAACGCTGGCATTTTCTGGCGCTAACTGCATCTTGACCAAGAGCACCACAGATGTTTTTTGCAGCCTCACTTGCTTTTCTTCCTAATTGGAACTCGTAAAGCATGCAGTGCCGAATATGCTCTTCATCCGCCATCTTCTTAGCCCTAGTTTTGCAACAAAAACCAATCCAAACACAAACTTTTTCAAGCAAAACTTGTTAATTGCACTTCACACGTTCTGTAGATACCACGTGTTTGAAGGTTATGTCAATACAAGTCAACGCCAAGCAAGATTTTAAACGGATGTTTAAAAATGACATTAATTTATTATTAGACCCGATAGATGGGGTGCTTACTTTCCTGGAGCGATAAGTGCAAGAATATATGAAGGTCAAACCTACTTATACAATTTTAAGAGAGAAAATTCCATAATCTGGAGACTTACTCAGCCATAGATTTTGAGCTAAGAGGCTAATTGGAAAAAATGACCCAGCAGCCGGTCTTACCAAAATACCTCTATTGTGAGTTAGTTTGTAATCTCTCTGATGAACAGGTTCAGTGTACAGAGCCTGAAGACGCTTTTGCATGGAGGTGAATTAAACTGGAGACTGGAGCTGGTTTATTTTTATTGCAGGCACCACCTGACTTTAAGGTTTCAGAAATCAAAAGGAAGGATTGTGCCTCCTGAGAGTCCTTGTGGAGTTCACAAAGGGACAAGCCAGGCTGCAAGAGAGCAGGGGAGCGACTGGAGGGCGGCACATCCGTTAGGAAGCGTGTCCATGCACCATCCCGACCTAACGCTCCCAACTCGCTCATGCCCTCGGGAGTGCTGGGGAAAAGACTTCAGAGTTGACTATTCACTTCCCCGCTCACTAAATTCTTTCATCGATTTCCTTACTGTCCCTCTGAGGCTGACATGAATCGAAGTGTGTAAAAGGTGTTGTACCAAACTGTTTTATAAGCAAGCCCCTCATTCATTCATGCTAACTTGAAGTCATTAACTGTTTAGATTCCTAATGTTTTTTAATAAAGTGGTTAAATTTTGGAATTCATTTGCCAAAACACGGTTCATTCAACAAATCCTTACTGAGCAGTTCTGGGTGGGGAACTCTGCCCTCAAATGACACACGACTGGCTTCCTGATTGGCCCCTACTAAGATTTACTTATTCTGTGATGTGGGGTCATATGACATCTGTGGCTTCCCCGGGCATTGGCAGAATTGAGGTGGAGATGTTGAAACAAGCCATAGGCTGAGCATTCTCCCAATCCTTTTACCCCTCAGGACAGGATTTGCAGAGTCTTATGTAGCCTCCTGCCTACTACCGTGTTTCCCCGAAAATAAGATATCCTCCGAAAATAAGACCTAGCGCATGGAAAGATAAAACATCCCCTGAAAATAAGACCTAGCGCAACTTTGGGAGAAAAAATTAATGTAAGACACTGTCTTATTTTGGGGGAAACAGTGTAGACCCTCTAAAGCTAAATTCCAAACTGTTTCCTTCCTTTACACCCAATTTCCAAACTCTCAGGACTGACTCCCACCATTTACCTTGAGACAGTTTCACTGACTTCATAAAAGAGAGCCCGGCAGTGACCCAAAGGAATCCCTGAGGCTCTGATCTAGCGAGGCTAGGGTCCCTCAGAGGCCCCGGGCAAAGGTGGCGTCGAGCACAGGAACTCAGCATTCCACTCGCCAAGCCAAGCGGAGCTGCTTCTGCAGGAAGGAGGGGCCCTTCGTTTGTACAAAGGTGCCCTATAGGAGGGGGTGGCCCTGGCCCTGCCCCATTATGTGCATCTGCAACATTCTATGTATTATTTCCCTTCACAGCACTTACTATTAGAAACTTGCTAAACTAAAGCTAGAATGTCTTCTTTGGAAGTGAGGGCAGAGACCTGGTTTTATTTTCTGTATGTCACTAGCCCCTCACTTCAAAATATGAGAAATACCTGACTGTACAGGCTCATAGTTGACACCCGATAAACGTGTGTTGCAAGACAGAAATAACTGAAGGAAAGAAGAGCAAGGGAGGACATGCCTGGGACTTAGGCAGGAAACCAAGGGCAGTGATGTGCTCAGGGAATGAGCTTGGGGTAGAAAATTTGGTGGGTGCCGTCCTGTCCTCAGCCACCCAAGACTATCCCTGCTTTTCTCATCTTCATTTTCATTTCTTTAAAAAAAAATATTTGTATTGATTTCAGAGAGAAAGGGAGAGGGAGAGAGAGAAACATCAGTAATGAGAGAGAATCATGGATTGGCTGCCTCCTGCACATCCTACACTGGGGATCAAGCCTGCAACCTGGGCATGTGCCCTGACCAGGAATTGAACCGTGACCTCCTGGTTCATAGGTCAACGCTCAACCACTGAGCCATGCCTCGTCTTCAACCTCTGGCACCCCCAGGGTCTCAAAAGAACTCAAAGTGGCTCCAACAAGATGACCCTGAGGAGACTGCTCTAAAGAAATGGGGCAGCCATGTGGGTCCTTGGTCATTTTAAAACCTGCAACTGCTTACTTTAATGAGGAACCAAAAATATCCAGACCTGTGGTCCGATAAAGAAGCTTTATCATTTAAAAATAACCTCTATGTGGCAGGCACTCAACGGATATTTTATTCTTACAGCCAGCTCACTAGGAGGCTTATGATATTCCCAGTTTATAGTTGAGGAAACGAATTAGAGAGAGTAAATGATTTGCCCAATGTCCTAAGGTTAGTTAGTGATGGCCTGGGACTGTATACGAAGGTTAAATTATACGGATTATCCATCTAATGTCCAGTCTCAGGTAAATAATAATTCCAGGAGACAAGGGCTGTCCAGGAGAAGCGGGTGTGGTCACAGGCTAAAAGACCAAAATGCGCGGAGGCAGACCGCACTGGGAGGCCTTCAGGAGCCTCTCACCCATGTTTGGCTGAGGAACAGGCTGTCCCCTCACAGAAAAGGAGGAAAGAATAAGGTGCTCCTTCAACAAACCACCTCTGGGTGGGCTCCTCTGCCACGTGTTATGCTGACTTTTTGCTCTAGCACAGCGGTCCGCAAACTCCTTAGTCAACAGAGCCACATATCAACAGTACAACGATTGAAATTTCTTTTGAGAGCCACATTTTTTAAACTTAAACTTCTTCTAATGCCACTTCTTCAAAATGGACTCGCCTAGGCTGTGGCATTTTGTGGAAGAGCCACACTCAAGGGGCCAAAGAGAAGCATGTGGCTCGAGAGCCGCAGTTTGCCGACCACGGCTCTAGCAGAACCGGCCTTCTAGCACACTCATCTTGAGTACTGGGGGAGGGGCAACAAAATAGATAGGGGAAGAGGGAATTTTTAGGTCTCAAATGTAGAATTGGCCTAACCAGCTTTGACACAGGCTCTGACACTGTTAGCAATCTGGCACCAGGCAAGAGAGGAGGCCCACCACTCCCCAACTCTAAGTACCAACGCTTTGTGCCAGACATATGCAAATGAGGAAAAAATATTTGTTTCTTTCAGGGAGTATGATGGAAGGTCTGATCTTCACGTTGGAATTACTAACACAAATGGTGAGTGCCTTTTCATATATATATTTTTTAGCTTGAAAAGCCCCCAAAATATCCAGAGGAGAGTAGTATTTCTAAAGAAAAGTGATGGTGCAACACTTAATTGGGAATTCCTCTGGTCCCTGGTTTCTCTTGCTGGACCATGAGGCGAGTGATGCTACTCTGCCCCCAAATGAGAGATACTTGACAGTATAGCAAAGTATTACCAACAATACTAAATATTTGAAAACAAAGGTCATTAATGTTTTCTCAGCCAAGAGTGACAGAAACCTTTTAGTTTTTTGTTGGTGTTTAAAAAAGGAAAAACAAACAAACAAACAAAAAAAAACCCAGAATCCTGGAGAGACTGAGTTGCCCAAGACCTCACTGGGTGTGGGAACCAGAATCTGGACTAAGGCCCTGTGCTCTCCAATCCTGTACTCACTCAGCCCACTGCTACTGGGTCTTCACACTCCAGGGTCTCCAGGAAAAAGGCAGAAACCTCTGGATAAGTCAGGGGATATAACGCCTGAGCAGTGGAGCAGCTGTTTTCTGTTAAAAAAAAAAAAAAAAAAAAAAAAAAAAGGCATCAGCATCAGCATGTTTAAATAAAATAAAACAGCTCTTTTGGCCAGATTTAGCTCTGAGGGCACAGAGTCTGCAACCCCTGGACCCAGAACATCCTTATCTGTAGGAAAGGGGCCTGGTGAGCCGCTTGCAGGAGTTGTAGGCCTGGGAAGGTGAGCAAGGCAGCCAGGAGAAACTGATACTGTGAACAGAAACCTAGGATTGGGTTTTTGAGCTCAGAGTTAGCCATGTGATCAGTAACACTTACCACCAGCCTGATCACTAGAAATTTATTGCTGATTGAAGGAAAACTAGGCCCATTTGTAAACGGAGAACTTCAACAAAAATATTTGGAGATGATTATCCTGGTGCCTATGTCTCCATTTCCTGGGGGTGACTCCGGAGGCTGAAGAGCAGGTGCAGCAAGAACTGGGTTCCCTGAAGGAACTGCTTTGCAGAGAGTAGGGGAGGCAGGGGCACCATAGCCTCTCCTTAGGTCCAGGCAAGACCTTCCCGAGATCTCCCAGGCAAGTGGCTGCCTCCTGAACTTGATGATCCTGGAGGAAGGAGGTCCCGGAGCCTCTCGGGACCTATTGCTAATGGGCAGGAATCAGAACGTGCAACCTGGGCTTCCAATATGTCAGGTTACTGTGGCGGCTGCTGTCATTTTCTGACGTCCTGGCTCTGGTTGCAGGAGTCGTCTATAATTACACCGTGCACGGCGTCCAGCGAGACGAAGCGGGCTGGGAGCAGTGTGTCAGTATCCCGTTGTTGCAGCCCGGCATGTTCGGACTGATGGACCAGTGGGACAAGTACCTGGAAGACTTCTCCACCTCGTGGGCCTGGCTGCCTCACAGGTATGGGGCTGCTGAGACCACCTGCTCCCTGGCCCACATTTGCCACACAAATGTCATCAATTCACTGAAGATGCTGAGCGGCATTTAGCAGTAGCACCTGTGTAACAGAATTTAAGCAGGTGTTTCTTCAGAGGTGAGCCAGCATATCCTATATAATAAAAGCCAAATATGCAAATCGACCGAGCAGGTGTGCATCCAGCCGCTATGATAAGCACTGACCACCAAGGGGCAGATGCTCAATGCAGGAGCTGCCGCAGGCCCCAGGCCAGCCATGCTGGGTGCCAAGAGGGCCCCCCTGACCACCCTGCTGGTCGCCCCACAGATCGGCCCTGATTGCCAGCCAGGCCTGCGGACCCTACCCATGCACGAATTTCCTGCACCTTGACTCTAGTGTTACATAATAGAATCAGAGCATTTTAAGAGTTGAAAGGGCCAGAACTTAGAACTCTCATTATTTGAATAGATATTTTTTACATACGTAACACTTCACAGTAATATGTACAGCAAAAGCTGTGATATTATGTTCCATAAAACAAACAATTTAAATGATATTCAAATAAAATTTCAAATGGCTAAAACAAACAATTTAAATGATATTCAAATTAAATTTCAAAATGGCTAAGAAATTTGTTGTTTGGTTTTAGCCATTTTGAAATTTAATTTCTCAATTCCTTGCTCCCTTAACATTTTATAGAATACTTGTCCACTTAAATTGTTTTCAGGCTGCCCTTGAAATGTAGGCTATCCTAAAATTTAAGAAATGAAATTCTACTTCTAGAATCTAAAATTTCAGCAAGATTAAGTTCCCCAGGTTGGGGTTTATGTGCACCTTCACTCATCACTCTGAACATTCAGTGAAGTCTCATCTGTACCTCGCGCTGCAATCTGCACTAGCCCAGGCCGGGGCCCGGCTCGCTGAGTGAGCCCGGTTTCAGGTATGGAAGGCCCTCAGCAGCTTCCCGGCCTGCTCCTGAGCAGCTTTCAGAGCTAAGCCTTCTCTTCTTCACGCCCTTGTTTTGAAGGTACGAAGAAGAACACCACAACTGCTACAGTTACACCCTCACGTTCATTAACTGCATTCTGGCCACAGAAGGCAAGGAGCAACTGGACAAGAACGAGTTCACGGAGAAGTTTGTGGTCCCCAGGACCAGGAAGGCGTCCAAGTACATCACGCTCTACCGGGCGATAGAGGCGCACGGCTTCCACGTGACCGACCGCCCGGACCAGGCGCCGAGTCCTCCTCCGGGGGGTGGTTTGTGCTGAGTGTGCCGTGGGAAAGCAGAAGGGACAGGATCTTTGGGGGTTACTACTTTTAACAGATCCTAGAGACTTCTAAAGACAGTAACCTGTGGTTAATTAAAAAAATAAAAAATAAAAGGTGCCCTGACCTGTTTGGCTCAGTGGATAGAGCATCGGCCTGCGGACAAGGGCACCAGGTTTGATTCAGGCCAGGGGCATGTACCTTGGTTGCGGGCACATCCCCAGTGGGGGGGTGTGCAGGAGGCAGCTGATCGATGTTTCTCTCTCTTAGATGTTTCTAACTCTCTATTCCTCTTCCTTCCTCTCTGTAAAAAATCAATAAAATATATTAAAAAAAAAAGGTGATAAGGCTTCCCTTTAAGCATACTTCAGTTTATCACAGTATAAGATTTTACAAAATTAAAATTGCCCTGGGTTTTCAAAATTCTTTTCATAGAATTTCAGTTTTCAAACTGAGAATCCATGTTAAAGCATAAAGTGGCAGCATATTTTATCCCCAGAACAATGAAAACTCTTCCTATAAATTAGAGCTGAATTAATCCATGTTTCCGTGTAAATCCAGACGGTGGAGTCATTTTTAAGAAGGTGAGCAAGACATCTACAATTTATGAAACGAGTGTTTTCACCTCACCCAGTGGCAAAACCAGGGTTTAAAGATGTTTGACTGCAAAGCCCATGCACTAACTCCTGGGCCACCTGGTGACCTGCAAGAGGCCCGCGGTTCCTGAGATGTGCAGCCACTGGGTGGGCAGTTTTTGCATTAGCGGAGATAAAGGAGAAAATAAGGGTTTTGCTTTCATCATTCAAATTCGGAGAGGAAGTAAGTTATATGTCATAAAGCAATTCAGATAAGGTCAATATTAGGACTGCCAATTTCATGCAACTGTCTCAGTGCTACATCCCTTGCTTTTCAAAGCTTCAGCAGTGCCCATCCTGTTTCAGAGGCTGCTCCCCCGCCTGGAGGTGACGCTGGCAGTAGTCGGCCTGTTATTTCTCCACTTGAGCAGGCTGTGAGGTCCCTGCTGGTAATGCCACAGCATCACCCTCCCGTCTCTACCCCTACTAAAGGAAATTACGCATCTCGTCACACCAATAGATGGCAATGTTGCTCTGTTCTTAGGATGATGAGCTGAGAATCTGAAGGTTTCTGTATCGTACCAGCTGAGTGCTGACTGACGGGCGGGGAGGTTCTGCATTGGTACCGGCTCTGCTTCTCCCCGCCACCTCCCCGGACGCACTTCTTCATCTCGGCCCTTAGCACTGACCACGCGCACGTGGTCTCCCATCAGTGCTGATGGAATGACCGCTGGGTTCCTTTTCACAGAGAGGTCAGAGTTTGTCTCAGTGTGACTGATTTGAAAGACTAAAATGACCCACACAAAGGTATTTTTCCAAAGCCGCTACAGCATGCATGGATTACTGTTATAACCAAGAAAACCCACATAAACATTACTTAACCCCCCCCCCCCCCAGGCCATATCTAGCTCTCTTAGTTCAGGAAGTGCTTGCTACCTCCCCTTCCCCCATCTTCGGAGCCGTCTTCACCTCACCTCAAACTATCTTCCTATCCCCTCCTTCTCCATGCTTACCTACCCGGGCATAAACCAGAGAAATGGGTGTGGTAATGCTTACACTTTTGGCCTTATCTGAAAGGGAAAAAGGTATACCTACCATGTACGATCCTTTCCCGTCATCTCATTTAGTCTGCAAAACAAACTCGGAAGGAATCACTCAGCCTCACTTCACAGCTGAGGAAGCCGAGCCTCAGGAATAGGCAGTTTCCAAGGTTGCCGTGGAGTCTGGACCAAGTGTTCCTGATGCCACTGTTTCCACTCTACCAGAACGTCCATTTAAGTCAGGAAGATCTACCTTTGCAATATTGTTTCAGAACATGTACACATTCAAAAAACATAAATGCTTAAAGCTTTTGAAAAAATAAAAGACTGCCCCAGGCAGGTGTGACTACTAACAGCATTCATCCCTCTTAACCGTCTTGGTTTGGATGGTAAGGCCACTCAGCGAACCTGCCTGAAACTCGTCCCATTAAACTACTGCCAGGTTTAATCCGTACCAAGTGTTATGTTTGAACGGTTACTTTACAGAAGTGAGATTCTTCAGAGAGCACTCAGGGCAGTAAAGGCACAGATGTCACTATTTCCCCTCCCGGTGGAGGGTAACTGCCTTAATAGAGGACAATTCCCCTCCCACCCCCACCCCCCTCCCATGAATCATCCCAGCTGCAAAAGACCAACAGTACATTAACTGGCCACTGTGTTAATAAGCACCTTATAAGGACCAACCCACACAATCCTCCAGTGATCCTCTGGGGTTGACAGCCTTTTTTTTTTTTTTTTTTAATTGAGGTGAGATTCATATTACACCGATTTTAAAGCAAAAAAAAATCAGGCATTTAGTACGTTGTGCAACCTCCTCTACTGAGTTCCAAGTCATCTCATCACCTGAAAGGTGATTCTGTACCAGAAGCTCCTCAGCCCTCTCCCCCTACTGCCCCTGGTCACCACCAAGGAGTTCTCTCATTGGATTGACCTGTTTGGGGTATATAGTTGGAATCAAACAATATATAACATTTTGTGTCTGGCTTCTTTCACTTGGCATGTTTTCGGGATTCGTTGTAGCCTGTCAATACTTTTTTGGGGGTGGCTAAACAAGAACTTCCTCTGATAGATGAGGAAAACCGAGGTTAAGAGTGTAGGGCCAGTAAGAGGATGAGTTGGGATGCAAACCTGCATCTGACTTCAGAGCAAGGAGTTCATCTTAGCCATAGCCATCCTGTCCTCCACCCAATGCCCATCAGAGAGACTAAGGAATTGCTGAAATTTAATACCAAGACCAGAGCCTTAATAAATAGTTCAAAAATTCTGAAAACTGCCGAGACCGGTTTGGCTCAGTGGATAGAGCGTCGGTCTGCGGACTGAAGGGTCCCAGGTTCGATTCCGGTCAAAGGCATGTGCCTTGGTTGCGGGCACATCCCCGGTGGGGGGTGTGCAGGAGGCAGCTGATTGATGACTCTCTCTCATTGATGTTTCTAACTCTCTATCTCTCTCCCTTCCTCTCTGTAAAAAATCAATAAAATATATTTTTAAAAAAAATTCTGAAAAGTGTGAGCTATGTGGACTCGAACTTGAAGAGGTGGTGCCTGTAGGCAGGGTAGGTCTGTGGTTACAGAACCACATCCAGTGCCCCAATACCCCGGGGCTGGTTCAGCACTGCCAACGGCAACTGTCCGACTCTGGCCACAGAAGGCAGACTCTGAAGAACTCGCTCCCAGGACAAACAGCCTTGGCCATAGGAGGGCCTCTTCAGAGTCCCCTCACCTCCCCACTCTGTGCACAAACACTGCTTGCATTTGCTTTCTGATGAGCCCAACGTCCACCAACACCTCTGTTCTCAACCCAGATTTAGCTTTGAACATGGGCACTGTGTCTTCTCGGTCTCCTGCCCGTCTGGTGGGTTTGAGCCAATCCTTCTGAGAAGGGAGGGCAAACTTGTGTCAGGTATTTTTTGAGTTCTCCTTTATCCTCAGAGCCACAACGAAGTCAATATATTAATTGGCCCCATTTTAGAGGCATGAAAATCGAAACTCATAAAGGGCAAGTAAGTTGCCCCAAGGTCACATAACCACTGAGGCAGAGCTGAGGTCGAGATGGGTCCTTTTTACGGGGCTCATTTCACTGCCAAGCTTTCAATAGAATCATCCCCAGGGCAACGAATTAAAAGCCAGGGAGCACATACTGCTCCCACCTTGGACCCACAGGTGGTCCTCAGACTCTGTGAACGCCCTGAAGATGGATACAGATTACATGCAGGAGCAGGTCCCTGGTGAGAGGGATCTCAGGCTGCACCCCAACCTTTGAGGTAGGGGAACCACCACCCAGCGATGCCAGCACACACCCAGCCCTGTGTGGAGGGCATTCTTCCTTAACCGCCAACCGCACAAGCCCTATTTCTGACTTCACAGGATTTTGCAGGCTGGCGTCCCTTCAGTGGTGGGGATGGTGTGAAGGCATTGCATGCAGGCGCTCTCAGGCCACGTCCTCCACTTGCACTTCTGACAGTGGCCACACCTCCGAGCCCCACACCTTCCTTTCGGAGGGTCCACCATCTGAACTCAAAAGGCGTCTGCCCTATCTCAATTCCCACTACCTGAATATTTACTGTGACAATTTGCAAAAAATGTTAGCCTGTATTAGTCACAAAAATGTAAACAACACACGAAATAGATGAGTTTGCAGCAGAATCATTCAAGTTGTGTCTGGGCTAGAAAGAGGACACAGCATGCATTGCTGCCTTAGGTGCCTGGTGCTTGCAATGTTTGGACAGATGGTCTATCATCCCATCACTTCCCCGGCCTTTCTATTAAGTAAAAGTCTCCTTTGGAAGTGGAAAAGTCTGTGAAGAAAGTAGGTGAGTTTTAGAGGCCGAGGAAGTAACGCTTCATTAGAAAAAATAGTTGGAAGTGATAGTGTATTTTAAAAAAGTGAATCATATAAAGTATAATTTTTACAATGATATAATCTTGACCAAGCAGGTGTCCACTTTTTCGTATGATTGTTTGCGGTAGGTTAACAAAATATAACTCGTGAAAAATGTTGGCTGCACCGTTTCACAGTGTTGACTGTGGGGTGCTATTTTCAGCGAAATTCTTGTGCACTTGGTCAGCCTGATGCCACCTGAATAGAAGACATGCTGGCACATGGAGTGGCTCTGATTACCTCAGGAGAATGGGAAAGTGATGGAGGAGAGGGTTTGGTGAAGAATTTCAGTTTTAAAGCAAGTCTCAGAAGTTTGAGAGGTTTAAGAACTTCGGTGCAACTTAATAAAATCGGTGCAACTTCTGCTCTCAGTGAGGCTGCGGCATCTCTCCGGGGAACTGCAGGTCTCCTGACGGTGGTTTTATTGCAGTCAATTTTTGATCTTGAGGAACTTGAGCTTATTTTTGAAAACAAATGCCATCTGGTACATTCATTTCAGAAGGTAAGAAGAAAGTGCTAGGACTTAATACTTCCAAAGAAAAGCTAATACTGCTTTTATTTTTATTTATTTGTTGTTAATCTTCACCTGAGGACATTTTTTAAAATTGATTTTTAGAGAGAGTGGTGGGGAGAGAGGAGGAGGAGAGAAATATTGATGTGAAAGAGACACATGGATAGGTTGCCTCCCACAAGCACCCCGACCTGGGGCTGGAGGGCCAGGAATAGAACCTGCAACCAGGAATCAAACCTGAGACCCTTCAGTCTGTGGGCTGATGCTCTCACCACTTTGCTAAACTGGCCAGGGATAGCTAATACTTTTACCTGGAAACTGTGAGGGTGATTTAAACTAAAACCTTTGCTGGTGTACCATTCCAGAAACCCCAGGGCCCTCAGGTAAACGCTGAGGAGTGCACGGCCTGCTACATCGTGTTCAAATCTACATATAAAGAAGGAAAATGCTCCGTTCAGGCTTGACTGCAGACGATGCTTTGGACATTCTACTGGAGCGTCTAGTTACAAATATCTGTGCTGTCTTTGGCTTTTCCACATTGTTACTGTCGCCATTATACCAAGGAGTCGCCACAACCTTCAATGCACATCAGCTGATGACAAAGCATCTGAGTGCTGACAGGAGGCCTGTACTCTGATGAAGGATTCCTGGAAGAGGTTTTACCATAAAGGCATCTGGTGCACTGATTAGACTTGGAAAGAAGTGTCACTACAAATGATAAATGAAATAGGGAAGAAATGCCTCCCGAAATTCTTTGCCAGCATTAAAGGTTTTGAGAAAGTGATGATTCAAAGCAAAGTCTTTCATTTTGCTCAGAAGCCTGGAGTAAGCAAAGTGAATGGTAAAAATGCTGAAGAACTATGAGGATCACGAATGAAGAGCAAAGAACTTACTAAGAAGCTCTTTCAAATGGATGGTCGTTATTGGTCTGAGGCAGGGGAGCTCCATTATTTGAGTGCCAAACCTTTAAAACACATCCGCAGGCAGACTCTTAGGCTGTCAGGATCTCTAAGGTCCTGCATGGAGGGATGCAAACAAGTGTTCATTCTGTGTGTGTTTTTTGTTTTTGTCTCAGCTTCCAAAGATGGATCTGACCCATCTACTCTGGAGCATTTAATGCCGAGGAGGGGCTGTCCGCCAGCTTCTCGAATCTGGACCGCGGACGAGCCTCAGACCATTGCTCCCTCACTCCTACGCTGGCTCCCTCTCGCTCAGCCTCCCCATCCCCATGCCCTCTGCCCACTTCCCCCCTCTAGCCTCCAAATGCCACTCCTCAGGCAACTCTGCCTTGGGATCCAACCAATTAAAAAAAGGCTCTGTTTACTGTGTTTACTAAATGTCAACTGCACTCGTTTTGTATCTTCCTTCACACATTATTTCACCACCTATTTTTATCTCAAAGAAGTTAACTGAAGCAAGGTGCACCTTTTTTCTAATACTGCAAAATATTGTGTATTCTACACAAACATGCCTACCAATTAGTAAACTGACAAATAATTAGGTAATTGATGTTTTAAATGCTTTCTCTGATACAAAAATCCTTGCTAACTATTAAATGGACTGTTATGTGCTTCAGTAATTGGTTGAAGCTCTTGGACAAGCGGAGACGTGTAACTTTTTCCATTTAGAGTGATGGAACATGGTGTCCTGCAGCCCCCAGATCTGCCTTCCGGCACTCTTTTGGGAATAGACTGGATGTGGTAACGAGATGCTGACACATGAAGTGCTGCTGTGGGACCTGTCGAGTGCCACCTCATGTAACTGTCACCAGGTAGAGGTTAGGTTAGAGTAAAACAGAGGCTCCCCATTGCAGACTCATCTGTCCACGCTCCTCACTGAGCAGATGAGGATGCAGAGCGGGGCCTGGAGGCGAGGAGCGGGGCAGCCACGGTTGGTGCCCGCCGAGGACAGAGCGGACGTCCGGGCACAGGGCTCTCTTCTTCTCCCGGTGCAATTTCTTTTTAAAACACGAATAGTTCTCTGGTGTGGGGAGCACCATGCCCTTTAAAAACCTTCCATTAATGGCCAATCACAATACAAGGACCCTTTACCTCGCCCTGAGCATGGCTTATTGTAGGAGACTCAATAAATATTTTTTGGTGAAATCAGAATTCTGAGGTCAAGTGTTAGAGTTCATCTTGGTCACTCCTCTCTCGTGAAGAAACCCAGCGGCTCAGAATCACTTCCTGTAACCAATAAAAACAAAAAAGGCCAATGACAGTTAAAAACAGGAATGAAAGAACATGCCAGGCATGTGACATCACAGCTACTTTTCACAAAAAGCTATCTACATTATGAAGATATCTGTTCCCATTTCTCGTAACCGGACATTCGGAGGAAAGTGAATGCAGCGATATAAACCTTACATGCAAGTAGCATCAACCGTAACTGTGAAAAGATTTGAAAGCTAAACTTGCCTCAGCTGTGGGATTCTACTAGCACCTTCCAGGATTAGAAATGCCAGTACAAAAGTTCATATTTAACATCGGAACCAAGTCTATGATGGCACCAGGCCCGCACTGAGAGGACAGACGTGGGTCTGTGTTGGCATTTTATGAAAAGTTAACCTAGTGGGGATGGCAGGACGAACTGAAGGGATAAGAGGCGGGGGTCCTCGAGCAGGTCTGCAGTGGGACCAACAGGAAGGATGCAAGGTTAGAGAAAAACCATGAAGTGCTGGATGTGGAGGAGGGTCAAAGACAGGGCGAGAGATGGCGATAGTAAACACTGGATGACGGAACAATGAACTTGGCAGCCCTGGCAGAGAAAATCCTGTCAGGAAGACCGGGGGAGACTCAGCTCAACACAGAACCCCAGAAGCCAGCCGAGAAGTTCAAGGAAGGAATGTCAACAGCGACACCCCTGGCCTCTGAGAATGAGACTGAGGAGAGGCCTGGCCTGGCCAGGGGTCCCAGGCCGTCGGGATGGCAGTTTCAGCTGGGCGGTGAGGACAGAAACCAGATCACATCGCAGGAATGGGAGCAGCAGGAATTAGGGGCGAGTGAAAGTAGGTTTAGCAGGGAAGGTCCTAAAAGACTTTCTTTCCAAGGCAAGACGGACTTGTTTGTTTTCTTGGGAGCACATGTTCAAGAGGATGCAATGCAATGGACAGAATCTTTGGGACGAACTGAGTGACCTAAAGTTACACACCTGAACTTTAATTCTCTTCATGCATTCTGGGGATTCCATTTCTTTGTCAGTCATGGTAGAGGGTTTAATCAGATAGCACAGCATGAGTTCCTGTTGAGAAATGAAGACAATATCCATATCCCACAAAATCACAATACAGATCTGAGTGGGCCAGCAGGACACGCAGTCTCGTTCCCAGCAGTGTCCTCCGGGAGCATCATAGCTGGGCTCAGCCTCTAGACTGAGGACCTGCCATCAGACATTGTTCACATGCCAGGAGAATGCAAATAAAGTAGATATATTCGTTATAAACACAAAATTTAATATATTAAACGTGTGCTCAAAAGTGGGCATAAAAACATTAAAAACAGTATGGACTCCCATATTTCTATGGGACAAAGTTCCTTTTCCTAGCCTACAGCCTAAGCACCCTCCCTGGCACTGAAGACAGTTGTCACCTGGCCCCTCCGGACTCGCCAGTCTCAGCTCTCACACCCCCAGCAGCAGGGGCACAGGTGGGAGGGGGTGTTTCAGTTAGCAAACTACTGAATCACAGAGAACAGAATTCCCACCCTGCACAGTCCTGGTCACTTCCTTCCTATCTTGAAGGCAGCAGGAAACAGAACACAGCCGGGCAGTCAGCCGGCTCTCAGTTCGAATCCCACTTCTGCATTTGAGCTGCATGATCATGAATTTCTCACTCAACGTCTCTGACACTTTGATTCCTCACTTTTAGGATGAGGATAAGAAATGGTGGTGAGAAACATGTAAAGTGTTTAGCAATCAATATTAATTCCCTCCCTGCCTTTTCAAGAGATCTGCGAACTTTCAAAAGAAACGTGTCAATGTTTGGACTCCTTTGTGAATGTGTGGGTGACTTTTGAGCGTGTGCTGGCTCACCAGAGGCACCCCGGAGAAGAAAGGCAATGCCCACCAACATCAATCACTACGGGGAACTTCAAAGTTCAGTTCCTGGAGCTTACACCCAGGTGGTGGTGGGAGGGACATAAGGGGGAGGAGAGCTCCTAGCCCCATCTTCCAGAACGTCACTGGGAGAAACACTTTGAAGTTTCTCCAAATGACTTTTCTATTTCTACTACATTTAAGAAGAAGAAAAAACTCCAACCATTTCAGTGACAGATAATGCAGGGCATTATGAAAGGTTAATAATGTTATTACCTTGGAGACATTCACTGACACTCTGCTCAAGGTAGCCAGTGACTTCCAACTGAAAGGTCTTCGAAGACAGCCCTCAAAATGGTCATCGACTAACTCAACAATGACAGAATAACTGGAAAAAACAAAAAGGGAGTTTTAAAAGTAAAACATATGAAATCAATCCATTTAAAAAGTATTATTTTTTCCTATCAAGAACAAAGCTACAAAAAAATGTACATCATCTGATCCTAAATTTCCCTAGACCACTGAGAAAATATTAATGAAAAAAACTCAGACTTCACATAGAATGTTAGACTGATTTCAACACATACAGGAAAGGAACAGAAATGTTTCTCCCAATACGAAATCTGAAAATACACTCAATGGTTTGGATACTAATACTCACAGATATTAAGATGAACTGTTTCTACATAGATTAACTCAATGTTTAATACTAAAAGACAGATTATCAGAACCATTTATTGTTTTATATGTAGTATAACACTGTTGGTGGAGAAGGCACAGACACATATTATTTATCCTTATCAGGCCAACTGGAACATGACTGATTCTGTGGTACTAGAAATTAAAGTGGCCAAAAATATCACGTCCTTTTAAGTCATTGACATTTAAAAATAACTCTAGCCTGGACGCGTGGCTCAGTGGTTGAGCATGAAATAGGAGGTCATGGTTCCATTCCTGGTGAGTCACATGCCCAGGTTGCGGGCTCGATCCCGTGTGAGGCATGCAGGAGGCACCCGACCAGTGATTCTCTCACATCATTGATGTTTCTCTCTTTTTCTTTTCCTCTCTTAAATCAGAAAGAAAACTATTAAAAAAAAAAAATCACTCCATACCTTGCATGGCAAAATGGAGGTCCTTTTCGATACAGCACTGCAAAGAAAAAGAAAGAAAATGTATAAGCATATGAAATAAAAATCTTATTTTATTACTTAAGTTTTTTTCCGGCTCCAGAGATACAAACACCCAATTATCTGTATGTGGGTAATCTGCAATATGCCCTGCAGTCTATTTTTAAAACCCAAACTGTTATTCCCCCTGGAACGAAATGCAATTAGTAAAGCAAATCTGTTGCCCAGGCCCTAACACCCTCCTCCCATCCCCACCCCATAAATGAATTCTGGAGTCAAGTAAAAGTGATTCTTATCTTGCTGCTTGTTTTATACTCTGGAGTGAGTGCTTGAAAGTGTATTAAAAATGTGAAATTTGTATAAAGTAGATAAACATTTTCATTTCTTAAAATTTTTATTGATTTCAGAGAAAGGAGGGAGAGAAACATCAATGACGAGATGCCTCCTGCATGCTGCTAGTGGAGACTGAGCCCAAACCTTGGGCATGTGCCCTGACCGGGAATTGAACCCTGGCCTCCTGGTTCATGGGTCGATGCTCAACTACTGAGCTACACAGACCAGGTGTGGATGCACATTTTGTTATTCATATCAAATCAATGTAATTCAAAGTGTCTGAGCTAATCTGGCCAGGTGCTGACTTAGGTGTTGGTGCTAGATATGAACAAGGCTTTTGCCTATTTTTAAGAAATTCAAAGTCAAGTAGGGAAAAGAAATCACAAAACCATACACAACACTCAGAGATCAGTCTGCCCTACCACAGTAGTGCCTCCTCCCATGCATGAAGGACATGTTCCAAGATGCCAGTGGATGTCTGAAACTGGACAGTACCAGCCCCTATATATGTTTTTTCTTATACATACATACCTGCATTAAAGTTTAATGTACAAATTAGGCACAAAGATTAACGACTGCAATTAATAATAAAATAGACCTTTTATAATGGCTTTGGGCCATAATTAAGGTAAAATAAGTGTTACTTGAACACAAGCACTGTGATACCCCAACGGCTGACCTGACAGCTACTAAGTGACTAATGGGTGGGTATCATCTACAGCATAGAGACGTGGAGACATGGAGACGCTGGACAAAGGGATGATTCATGTCTTGGGCGGGATGGAGGGGGACAGCAAGAGACTTCATCATGCTACTCAGAAGGATGCACAATTTAAAACTTATAAATTGTTTATTTCTAGAACTTTCCATTTAATATTTTCAGACTGACCCTGACCACATGTAACTGTAACTGAGAAAAGCGAAAGGTGGGACAATAGGGGACTACTGGTAACTCAGTCTGTGGAGGCCAGGAGCTGCTGCTGGAAGCATGGGGCCGGGGACTCTGCCACGAGGTCCTGGGGGCCCTTTGGAGGCAGGCGAACACCACCCCTCACAGGAGCAGAAAGACTGAGTCAGACGAGAGCAGAAAAGGACGGGGAGGGGGGGTGCGGGGGGCAATGGTAAGATATGTACACAGATAATTTAATTAAAAAAAAATAAGGGGGGAAAAAAAGAAAAGAAAAGCACCAAGGCAAGCCTTGGCCAAAGGAGCCAGCACCACAGGAGCTTCTGGGTGGGAACCAGAGAGGACCCGCCCCCGCCCCCGCCTTCCCATCTCCCTTTCAGCACTGGGTGACCAAGGTCAACCAGCTCCGCAGCTGCACTTGATTTGAGATCCCTATCACTGGTTCCAAATACTGCTCCTGGAATGAAGCTTGATTGACAAGATTTATTCAAGGAAGAGTTTCCCTGATAAGATGTGAATTTCATAACGGCCCTTTGTCATGAGTCATTAGCTCTGTAAGCAGAAACAACTGTTAAAAGAATGTCCTGCATTGAATCGGGGATGGCAGTTCTGAGGTGCATGTGCTTAGGTCCCCAGCCTTCAAAACTAAATAATATTGTTAAAGGCCAGGCACGGGCAGCTGTGCCTGGAGAAGGGGCACAGCTTAGGAAGCGCCAGCACCGCTGGGGAACCCTGCGGAGGCGGGCACGGGGAGGACACCCTTCGCGAGGCCGCTGGGCCGGAGGCTGGTCTCACATTAATTACACAGGCAGCTCCAGTGCATGATGGGCCCCAGCTGCGGCGAGGCCTCCGGGGAGTTGGGAAATAGCAGTTGATTGATTTCTTTTCTTTTTTTCCCCCGAAAATCTGCCTGCTTGTCCGTTCTTTCATTCATCCTTATAAGGCCGTTTATTTTTAAATTAGGAAAGGTCTTGCCCGGCCGGTATGGCCCAGTGGTTGTGTGGACCAATGAACCAGGAGGTCAAGGTTTGATTCCAGGACAGGGCACACGCCCAGATTTCAAGCTCGATCCCCAGTAGGGGGCATGCAGGAGACAGCCAGTAATGATTCTCTCTTATCACTGATGTTCCTATCTCTCCCTCTCTCTGGGGGAAAAAAAAAAAAAAAAAAAAGTTTTTTTTTTTACAAAGCAGGCATTGTTACCCATGTTATATGAAGAGCAAACGAAAGCTTGGAGCGATGAAGAAACTTGCGTAGAGCCAGCTGTGACCCCAAAGAGTGCTCTTTCCATCACCCATGCCACCTCTTAATGCATCACTGTAGCCTTATCCGCTGGAAAATTCTACTCAAATTTCACCCTTAAATTAAGAAAGTTGGGGAAGACCTGCCAAGCATTTGCACTGAGAGGCTATTCTTGTTTTTTTCTTTAATCCTAGGATGTGTTTTTATTGAAGAGAGAGAGGAAGAGGTGGAGAAAGAAAAACATCGATACGAGAGAGAAACTTGGATCAGCTGCCTCCTGTACCCATCTGACCAGGGATCAACCCTGTGACCTTTCAGTGTTCGGGACGATGCTCCAATCAACTGAGCCACACCGGCCAGGCCTGAGCGGCTACTCTTACAGGAGCGTGAAAAGGAGAACGGGGCAGGAAGCCAATAAAGAAAAATGAAACAGGCACATCACTTATTTAAGCAGCGTGACCTGTAGCCAACACAATTATCTGGAAACATAGCAAGCTAATCCTGAACATTTGTGTGGTGACTCTGAGTTAGGAAATCTGCATCTGAAATCCAGGCATGGAAGAAACAAAATAAACCATTTATCTTAGCGATATGGGATTCTGAGTAAAATTTCAGGAGGTACCTTCCAGCCCCTGAAGACCATTCTCTGAGTCTAGGTTAAGCACACTCAACTTTAGAGCACTTAAATATTTCAGAGACTGAACTGGCTTTCTTTGGGCACTTAAAAGGCTCAAAGGCATATGGAACAAGGATGTGACTTAGCTCAAAAGACCTCAAGGGCCAGGACTTCTTAGAAGACCTCTCAAACATCTGGCCTGTCTTTCCAATATCTCCAGGGGGCTTACTTAATGTGTCTAAAACATTAAGCCAAATACCTATGCATTATCCCTGATTCCTCTCTTACCCATAAATCTCATATCCATTCCATCTGCAGGGCTGGCTGGGCTCAGCTTCCCTGACTAAGTCACTCTGTTCCCATTTTTGCTCTCCTGCAGTCTTTTGGTAAGAGACAAGATAGAAGATCCTGTTATATGAAGTCATTAAATTTAAGTCACTCGCTTGCTCTAACTCTCCCAAGAAGTCCAATCGGCAGAGTAACATCCAAAGTCTGTGCCCGGCCCTACGTGAGCCGGCCCCAGCCTGACGCTCACTCTCCCCTGGGCCTCTAAGTTCTAGGCACAGTCTTCCTGAGGCCTGCCAAGCTGTTCCTGCCTCCGGCCTTTTCACTTACCATTCACTTTCCCTAGCACGTTCTTCCCCAAATTCCCAAGGGCACGGCTCTCACTGTGGTCACACGTTTTCAGTGTTTTCCTGAGCACCTTTACCAGCGTCCTTTACTCTGCTCTATTGAATTACAACCTGCAAATGGATTATGTCTCTTTGCTTGTTTGTCTCCCCCGCCAAAAAGTAAGTTGTTCCATCAAGGCAGCTCTGTGCCTGTCTTGTTCGCTTCTGTATTCCTGGCCACAGGAGACCTTCAGCAATTCTCTGTTGAATGAAGTGCTTACATGGCCCAGACTCCTCACTTCAAGTAAAGATCAGTGGAGGAAGAACTATGTAGAAGTTTCTCAGAGTTTGGGCTCCAACACTGAAAGTCCAGCTCTATAAGTTACTGGCCCTGAAAACTGTTAGGGGCAAATGACCCATGCTCCCAATACTGCAGTCTCCTTCTCAGAACAATGAGGTTAACAAGTATCCATTGCCCAGGATTGCTGTAAGCATTAAATGGGCTAATGAAAGTAAAACACTTAGTACAATGCTTGGCATGTATGAAATGATTAATAAATGAGAGCTGTCGTTATTAATATAACTAGAGGCCTGGTGCATGAAATTCATGCAGGGGGGGAGCATGTCCCCTCAGCCCAGGCTGCACCCTCTCCAATCTGGGACCTCTTGGGGATGTCTGACTGCCAGTTTAGGGGATGTCTGTTTGCCAGCATCGGGCCTAAACCGGCAGTCAGACATCCCCCTCACAATCCTGGACGACTAGCTCCTAATCATTCACCTGCCTGCCTGCCTGGTCACCCTAACTGCCTTCCCTCCCCTGCTGGCCTGGTCACCCCCAACTGCCCCCCCCCCCCCTTGCCGGCCTGGTCACCCCATGCAGCCTGCTGTTCATTTGTTCCGTCATCCCTCATTAATGCCCCTGTCGGCCTGGTTGTAGGCAGCCATCTTGTGAGTGTGTGAGGGTCAATTTGCATATTACCTCTTTTATTATATAGGTGGATGATTATTCTCATTTGCCAGATGAGGCAACTGTGGCCTAGAGGACAAGGGACTGTCCTATGTAACATGACCACATGGCTAATGAGAGGTGAGGGTCAGGATATGGGGGTGCTGCAGATTATAGTGCGGACAAGAGGAGGAACCTGACTTGGGTCTGCAAGCTTCTACTCCTGGGCTTTTCTCCTAGATTGCCCTTTCATTCACTCTGGACATACCCTAAACCCAATCCAAACATCCAATATTCTTATTTAAGCCAGAAGGAAGAACCTCATAGGAAAGATTAGCAACAGCACATAAAACCAAATCTGATTTTCATCCTAGGATCTCATGCAAGCCCTGGTTCTCACACTTAACAAGTCACAAATTACTTACGTAAATCTGTTCCGTACTTAAGTCCCACTTTGGGCACCCAGCCCTTGCTTCGGAAGTAATGGTACGCCATATAGGTAGTCCTGAATGTGGGCTGAATTACCGTGAAAACTTTCCAGAGTTTCAGAATTGTTAAAGGCTCCTAAAGTTATTGAACAAAAATAGGCATTATTATGTATGTACTCACTCATCACTCATCCAGTGAATCAACGTCTGTAAGTGTGAAGCTGGAGCAGTGAATAAAACAAACATGTTACCACCCTGACCAATGTTGCCAAATGGTTAGAGCATCAGCCCGAACACAAAGGGTCAAGGTTCAATTCCCAGTCAAGGGCACATACCTAGGTTGTGGGTTCATTCCCCAGTCCCAGTTTGGGGGCATATGAGAGGCAACCAATCGATGCGCCTCTCTCACATCGATGTCTCCCTCTTTCTCCCTCCCTCTATCACCCTTACTAAAAATCAATGGGAAAAAATAATTCTTTTGAGGATTAACAACAACAAACAGGGTACCCAGAACAGAGGGACTTAACTAGAAGAGCTAGACATGTGCTGTCCAATGAGGTGCTGCAATGAGAGGTGCTGCAAATGTAAAATACACACAAAATTTAAAAAGCTTAGTATAAAAACAACTATCTCCATAATTTTGGACATGTTGGGTTACACAAACTATATATTGTAAGTTAATTTCACCTCAAGAAGACTTTTTAATGTGGCTACGTAAAATGTTAGATTATACACAGGGCTCCTGCCTGAGGCTCCCATGGCATTTCCGGCGGACAGCGCTGCTCTAAGGACTTGGAAGAGGCTGCCCTGAGACAGTGACGTCTGAGAGAAAGGGGTGGTGAAGGGTCCGGAAGGGGGTGGTGGCGGCGGCTGGGAAAGAACATTCCAGGCAGAGGAACGAGTACACTTGGGCTGGGGGCTCAAATGTAACAAGTCCACAAGGCAGCATGCTCCAAAAGACCCTAAAGAGCAGCTACTACTAGTACCGTGTTTCCCCCAAAATAAGACATCCTCCGAAAATAAGACCTAGCGCATGGAAAGATAAGACATCCCCTGAAAATAAGACCTAGCGCAACTTTGGGGGAAAAAATTAATATAAGACACTGTCTTATTTTCGGGGAAACAGGGTATATGTCAGGCCATGCTCAGAAAAGCCACACATAATTTTGTAAAAGCTTTAAAAGAATGCTCCATTTAGTTTTTGAAACTAGAGAATTTGTTATCTGATAGCACAAATTAATAATCCACTGCTTATAAGAGGACTTTGTTTCTACTGTGGGACTTGAAGAGACTGAGAATGCTCAGTTCAGAGAACAAACATTCTGATGTATCAATACCAAAAAAATAAAAATAAAAATTAAAAATAATACAACAATGAAAACCAGATAAGTTGGGGAAGTTTTCTGCTTCATTTCAGTGCTCAGTAAAATGGTCAATTCTTCAGTTGGTTTAAGGTTCAGTCACTCGAAAAGATTTGCTCAGTTGGCTCAGAGGAAGATTTTAATGCCATAAGTATGAGTTAGAGTTGTGGTTTTCCTTCTATTTTTTTGGCGTTATTCCTAAGGTGGAAGCTCCATATGTGTGTGGCCTTCAAATCCCACTGCGAGCAAACACTCAACCCCTCCTCTGAGAAGCAAGTCTTGTAGGGAAGGCTGAGCTTCCAACTGGAAGGCCCACCATGTTTCAGATGCTGAATGTTCTGACAAATTTCAGCTGATGCCCAGGAGAGGAGGCAGGGTGGGCTAGGAATGGCCACCATCTGGGAAAATGAGTCACCCATCAGCCAGACACCCATTTTCAAACCCATGGAATACTTGTGAAAAAGATTTATATAATTAGAATCTGATGAGTGATAAAATTATGTACTTCCAAGAACAGAACGAAATATGCTTTCTCTAGTCCATTTACTGCTCTGCTTACATTTTTCTTTTTAATTTAAATTTCATTTGAATCAGTTTTTGAATATGTATCGGAATCACATGGTTCAGAATTGAAAAAGGACAAAAAGTGCCCAGTGGAGCCCTGGCCGGGTGGCTCCGTTGGCTGGGTGTTGTCCCGCGCACTGAAAGGCCGATGGTTCGCTTCCCGTTCAGAGCGCAGCCTGGGTTGCAGGCTCGATCCCCAGCAGGAAGCATGAAGGTGGCGGCTGACTGATGTTTCCTCTGACATCAATGTTTCTCTCTATCTTCTCCCTCCTCTCTCTATAAAAATCAATAAAAATCTATTTTTAAGAAAGAAAAAAAACGTACAGGAGAAAGTCTGCTCCCATATGTGTACTCAGCCCTCCACTTCCTTTCCTAGAAGGCAAGCAAAGGTGTCAACTGCTTTTGGGATGACCCTTTTCCTAAGGGAAGCAGCCGCTGTGCAAACTCGTGTGCTTTGGAGCTACTCTGCCCTTGGGGGAGGTAATTTCTCTGAGCTTCAGTCACTTTATCTATAAAATTCTCACCAGATGGAAGGATTAGAAATATTGTATGTAAAACACCTAGTACACAGTCTGAAGTAGTGTTAAACACTGGTAGCTTTTACTCCTGTTGTTAATTTTGTAGTACTGTTCTGACATAGATTTCCTGGTCATTATGTAAGATATTGCTTTGCTCCTAATCTCTGGGAATAAAATTCAACCTCAAAGGGTCAAAGCTGGCTTTTGCCTGAACAGTTCCAAATCAGGACCCAAAGCTGAACTTCGAAAAGAAGACACTTCCTATTTTATTTAGGGAAGCAATTGAAATTACTATAGCCTACTTTTAATATCAGCAAAGTTTAACGTGGATTACATATACATAAAACAACTTACCTTTTCATAGTAAATACTTAGACATCCCAGAGCATATACCAGGAAGAAGGCCTAAAACAGAGCAAGCAGAAAATGCTCATTAAAAACCATACACAAACTGCTGAAAAATTATGTTACACATTGACTTGTTTTCACCTCAAATACAAATTAATGTTCTTGAATATTCATCAAAACGGTCACATATTTTTAACAGAAATGGATCATATAATCTTCAAAGATTAAAAAAAAATCTAAGAAAATATGAATGTCCCAAACTGGTTTAAAATAAGTGAAAAACACCCATTCTTGTCACCTTTACTCAAAAAGTACTAGAAGTCCTAGCCAGAGCAAACAGGCAAAAATAAATAAATAAATAAAAGAAAAAAAAAGAAATAAAAGGCACCTACATTGGGAAAGAAGGTGCTTATATACAGATGACATGTTCTAATATATAGAAAACTCTAAAGAACCCACCAAAAAACTATTAAAACTAATAAATAAGTTCAGCAGAATTGTAAGATATAAAATACATAGAAAGAAATCTATTGAGTTTCTATCCTATACAAAAAAAGCCTAGGTACCGTCCTGCCCTTGTGCGACAACCTCGGGCAACATTGTTACAATGTAGCCACCACAAGATGCCTGTCATCATGTTGTCACAAGATGGCCACCACAAGATGGCCGGCAGGGGAAGGCAGTTGTGGGTGACCAGGCCGACAGGGAAGGTAGTTGGGGGCCATTGGGCCAGCAAGGGAGGGCAGTTGGGAGCGACCAGGCCTGCAGGGGAGGGCAGTTGGGGGCCATCAGGCTGGCAGGAGAGGGCAGTTGGGGGCAACAGGTCTTGTAGGGGAGGGCAGTTGGAGATGATTGGGCTGGCAGGGGAGAGCAGTTGGGGGTGATCAAGTTGGCAGGGGAGCAGTTAGGGGGTGATCAGGTTGGCAGGCAGAAGCGGTTAGGGGCAATTAGGCAGGCAGGCAGGAGGTTAGGAGCCAGCAGTCCCAGATTGTGAGAGGGACTGGGCCTAAACCGGCAGATGGACATCCCCCGAGAAGTCCCAGATTGGAGAGGGTGCAGGCTGGGCTGAGGGACACCCCCCCTCCCCCGCCCTGACTCCCATGCTCGAATTAGTGCACCAGGTTTCTAGTACATTAATAAAGAACCACCAGAAAGAGAAATGAAAAAAAAAAAAATCTCATTTATAATGGCATCAAAAAGAATGAAATATCTAGGAATAAATTGAACCAAGGAGGTGACTTGGTAATTGTTGATAGCTATAAATTCACATAACAGCGCTTCTTGGAATTCTCAATAATTTTTAAAAGAATAAAATGGCTTGAGAACTACTACATCTTCAGAGATTCTCTGAAAATGAAGGTGGTTCCATGGTCTCAATCACCATGGTCCAGATACCACCTCCTGCCTGGACTTGTGCCAAGGCCTCTTTATTTTTACTTAGCCCCTTCCAGTGCCCTCTCCACAGGAGCCAGAGCCATCTTCTCAAAACACGAAGACTGGCCAGCCGGCATGGCTCAGTGGCTGAGCAGTGACCTATGAATTAGGAGATTATGGCCGGATTCCCAGTCGAGGCACATGCCTGGGTTTCGGGCTCAAGCTCCCAATGGGGCGTGCAGGAAGTAGCCAATCAATGATTTTTTTTTTCTGATCACTGATGTTTCTACCTCTCTCTCCCTTTCCCTTCCTTAAAAAACAAACAAACAAACAAAAACAAAACAAAACAAAAAAACGTGAAGATGTGGCCCCTGTGACTAAAACCCTCCAAAGGGCTTTATTGAATTCTTTTGTTTGATTTGTTAATCCTCACCCTATGATATTTTTTCCATTAATTTTTTAGAGTGGAAGGGGGTGGGGGAGGAAAAGGAAAGAGAGGGAGAGACATTGATGTGAGAAAGATACATCCATCTTGCACATGCCTCAACTGGGGCTCAGAACAAACCTGCAACCGAGTACGTGCATGCTCTTGACTTTGACTGGAACTGAACCTGCGGGGCGCTCTAACCACTGAGCAACATCAGCCAGGGCCTTTACTGCATTCCTGCTTCCCGCATTCTACAGCAGCTCAATGTCTGATCACCAGTCTCTCTAGCCTTCGTGGCTTCACTTGTCCCTTAAGCACATTAAGCTCATTTTTGCCTCTGTAATTGCTATTCCCACATCTGGCATAATCTGCCCCTGACTCAGAGGTCACTTCTCAGAGGTCTTCCCCAGTCACATGGTTTAAGTGACCCCCATATTGACTGTCTTCTTCAACAGAGCATTTATTTTTGTCGAAAATATCCTTCTTATGTGTGTCTCTACAAACAGAATGCAAATTCTGTGAGAGCAGAACAGTCAATGGGTGCTCAATGCGTGTGCTGGGAGAATACAGAAACAGGTCCTGGATCCTGTGCTTGGTTTAGGCCTAGAGCCACCCAGAGCAGGGCAGGCCCTCAGCTCCCTTCTCCAGCGTCTCAGTGTGGACACAGGTTTGGTTCTCTTTTTACAATAGCTACTGGTACAGCCTTGCCAGGTGTCCTCAATCTCACTTTGACCCTTTCCCTTCCCATGGCCTAATACTTATTGATAAAGAATACTTTTGTTTTCCTCTCAGATGGACACCAACAATGGCCTAAAGGTGCAAAGGAAAAGGCAAAGCTGGTTCCTCGAACAGTCACGTCCTTTTTTCCCTTTCATTTTCTCACTTCTCGGTTCAGAATGGTGTAATAGGAAGAACGAGCTTTGAGATATGACAGATCTGGGATGGAATCTCATTATTGGCCATGGCCTTGGAGAACTCATTTAAACTATACTACCTCCCCTATAAAATAGGAATAATAATGCCTTCTTGAAGTTTTAATGAGGTTAAATCTCATAAAAAATTTAAAAAGCTGTGCAAACACCTAACTGCTCAATTCATTTCAGCCTCTCTTCCTTTCTAACAATCATTCAGCTACGGTAGCTGGAAAAGTTCCATCCAATTTTCACCCAGCAAGAAATTCTTTCCTGGTGTCTGTCAGAATTTAAGCTCTTCAGAGACTTTCCATTATTAGCAAACATACATTTCCCTAAGAACTGATGATCCAAGGCCTCATTTTAGCCGGCCTAAAATGAGGCATTGGTTTCATTTTAGGCCGACTAAAATGACTTTCATGAATCAATGCAAACTGATTTCAGGCACTTATTTCAAATGGAGAGAGTCTCACTTCAGTTGAGTTGGTTTTATTTGGAAGTAAGTCATCAGTACACTGGGGAGGTCTGGGGAGACTGGCAATGATGTCCCTTGAGATCTCATTGGTAAGTATTTTCTTTGACAATACTAATAAGATAGAAGGATGAGTTTAACAATTATTTTAACGTCGCAGATAACAGCAAAATAGTTCTCCAAAACAGATCTCTGAGAAGCAGATTTTTAAGTCAGCGGTGACATTACCATTCTCAATCCCTAAAAAGAACTGCTCTGAGTCACCACAGCAGGGCTGCTTGTGTTCCTGACAGACATTTACGGAAATACATTAAACAGAGCAAGTGGCGTGCCAAACACAGGCGATTCTTTCAACGGCAATCTGCCAAACAGAACTGAGAAGCAGAACCAGGTTTAGTTGTGTGCTCCTTGAAAACGATTGCACTATATCTCTGGAATGTTCTCAGGAGCCAAGCAGCTTCAAGAAGGCAGAGCAGTCTCATCAGCTATCTCCTCTCACTCCTGCCTTTCTTCAGGGCGTGTTTGGGAGGAGGCTTCTTGTCATTAAAAGCATCAACTGGTCACCCACCTGGAACAGTAAGGCTGAACCCCGTTTCTACACCTGATACTCCCTCCGGGCCTACGGATGCCGCCTACCGGAGCCGAGAGGGTCCTCATGGCCTCCGCCCTCCAGCCCACGCTCCTCCCGATGCCAGCTCTGGTCCCTGCCGCTCCCCTACATCACTGCCTGCAATTCCCTGGTGCCACCGTGGCCAGGTCAGACCCCTACTCGCAGATACGCCTCCCACCATCTAGCCCTCCTGTGCGGTGCTCTCACTTCCGGGACTGAGCTGCATGAAGGAAGAGCCCATGCCGTCCCCTGTCCACCTGGCAATCCCTATTTATCCTTTAACAACCGCAGATACCACCGGCTCTGGAAAATCTTCCCAGCTAGCATGTGTCCCTTCAGACTCCACCGGTTTCTGTGCAAATCCCACACCTCGTACACATCCGTTTAACAAATCATTATTAAGCACCTAATGGTCGACAGGCATTGGATTCAAGGACACAAGAGGAGCAACACGGGGACGATTCGTGTATATCACACTGTACTCATCACATAGAGTTACAGTTACTTCAGGGCTACCTCTAGGGCCAGCGCCATGTTCTCTGTACTTCTGAATTATTAGTACTAAACCCAGGGCCTCGCACAAAGTAAATACCCAGTGAATATCCTTGCAAAATATTGATGGCACATACCTGAAACTGAAGAGAAAGAAAACACATACAGAACAAATACATACGTGGGATTCATACTGTTAAAAAAATAAATTTTTTATTAATGTGATACTGTAAACCAATATTTAAATAAAAAATAAAAAAAAAAATGCTGACTGTGCCCTGGCTCGTGAGTCTGCTGGGTGAAGTGTCATCCTGTGCACCAAAGGGTCTTGGGTTCGATCCCCAGTCAGGGATCGTAAGGGAGATAACTGATCGATGTTTCTCTCTTTCTCCCTTTCTCTCTCTCTAAAACCAATAAAAACAGCCGAAACCGGTTTGGCTCAATGGATAGAGCGTTGGTCTGCGGACTGAAAGGTCCCAAGTTCGATTCCAGTCAAGGGCATGTACATTGGTTGCGGGCACATCCCTGGTAGGGGGTGTGCAGGAGGCAGCTGATCGATGATTCTCTCTCATCGATGTTTCTATTAATAGCTATCTATCCCCCTCCTTCCTCTCTGTGAAAAATCAATAAAATATATTTAAAAAATAAATAAAACCAATAAAAACATATCCTCAGGTGAGGATTAAAAAAACAAAAAACAAACACCCTGTGAAAGAATTAGCTACTAAATAGCTTTTACAACTAACTTAATAACAGGCATGAACTAACTTAATAACAGGCATGAGCATGTACTATATCCAGGCACTGTGCTGAACCCATTACAGGCATAATTTAGTTTCCAGACCTTATATAAAGAAGATGTTATGTAACCCTCATTTTAGAGAAGAAAGCTGAGACTCGGAGGTCAAGCACCTACCCGCAGTGCTGTCCAATTCTGCAGCCAGTAGCCACATGTGGCTATGATTATTTTACAGTTTTTTATTTTTATGTTTTTATTAGAAATTTATTTTAATCCTCACCTGAGGATATTTTTTCCATTGCTTTTATTGTATTTTATATATACTAGAGGCCTGGTGCACAAATTTATGCATGGGTGTGGGGGGGGTCCCCTCACCCTGGTCAGCGATCAAGGCCTATCGGGGGGACTGGCCAGTCAGGGGGGAGGAACTGTGGGAAGTTGGCCTGCTGCCCCTCTCCCCATTGGGATCTGGGGGAAGGAGCCACGTGAGGTTGGCTGTGGGAATGCATTGACCACCAGGGGGCAGCTCCTGCACTGAGCATCTGTCCCCTGGTGGTCATTGTGTGTCATAGCGACTGGCAGACAGGTCATTTGGTCATAATGGTCGCTTAGGCTTTTATGTATAATATATAGATATATTTCAGTTTATATTTATTTTTGAAAGTATTACAGAAGCCCCTCTTTCCCCCCCCCCATTGATCCCCTCTACCCAGATCTCATTCCCTCCCCAGGTTCATTGCTTTTAGACAGAGTGGGAGGGAGAGAGAGAGAAAGTGAGAAACATCAATGTGAGAGATATACTGATTGGTTGTCTCCTGCACACGCCCTGACCAGGATTGGGGAAGGAACCCGCAACCCAGGTTCGTGCCCTTGACCAGGAATCGAACCCGAGACCCTTCAGTGCGCAGACGAATGCTCTAACCACTGAGCATACCGACAGGGCTGTTGTGTTTTAAATGTAGTTGGCACAACTAACTGAGAAACAATTTTGAATTACGTTAAATTTTAATGAGTTTAAATTAAATAGCCACGCGCAGCTAGTGGCTATTGTATATTCAATAGTAGACTAAACTGTCTCATTCGTAAAATGAGATGAAGTAAATAATTCCAAACATCCCTTCCTGCTCTGAAAGTCTGTTCTTTGTATCACTGGCTTCTCTGCAAGGGAGGACATGCAGACCAGGAGATCAAGATGCTACAGAGACACAGTTACTTCTCTGTGCACACATCTATGAAATCACCCATGCGGATGCATTTAACAAGCACTCCCTGACACCTAGATATCCGCCAAGAACTGTGCCAGGCACTGCAGAAGCTATCCAAGACGGGCAGGAGCGCTCCTGGAGAGGAGGCAACCATGGACATGAGACTGAGGAAGGGGTGCTACCCTGAACGGCAGACAGGACATGTCTGTGTTCAGTACAAATGTGAGCAAAAAGGGAAGGACTGGCACTATCCAGTATGGCTCGGTAGATAGAGTGTCAGTCTGTGGACTGAAGGGTCCCAGGTTCAATTCCGGTCAAGGGCACATGCCTGGGTTGTGGGTTCGATCCCCAGTGCAGGAGGCAACTGATCAATGATTCTCTTCATCATTGATGTTTCTATCTCTCCCTCTCCCTTCCTCTCTGAAATCAATAAAAATATATTTAAAAAAAAAAAAAAAAAAAAAAAGGACTGAATGTCATGTGAACACAGGCTAGAGGAATTCCAAATCAGAGGAAAAACATGATGCAGTTGCTAGAAAGCCACCTTTTAAGTCACCTTTTGAGAAAGCAGCTATTGTCTTGAAGAGAGCATATGTTGGTAATTCTGCAGAAGGGAACACCCAGAGTTACTGAGTCACATGCAGGACTGCATTTGGAGGTAGACTCTATAATCTACAGTGTTGTCCAGTCCCAGAGACCAGAAGCTGGGAAGGAAACAGGCGGGGCACATACCTCCTCCAGGCTGAGCTGCAGATACTCAAAGATCCTATACGGATTTCTTCTGCAGACGAGTCTCTTCTTTTGTGCCGACTGAAGAGAAAGAAAGGTTATACATACAGAACAAATGGGAAGCACTGCATTTTATACAAAGGAGACTGCATTTTAAAATGAACATCTTTCCTATAAATTTCCCAGATTCACATTTGTTGGATCCATACTGTTAAAAAGTAGTAAGTTTTTATTACTTAGGTGGAAAAGTTTTGTTTCTCTACTTCAACATTTTATTCCTTCTTTGTGCCCCATGAGCATTTCTGTGGTGATCATTTTGTTGGTTGACTTTATGTGCTGCTTTTTTTTTCTTTGTACCTCGTAAGCATGTGCCTAGGTTCTTAATGAGCCATAAACCTCGCTTGAAAGGCTAGCTAATATTTCTTCAAGTGGGTGTTTCGCATACTCCTTAGCGATTAGATTGTTTCTCGTGTTTAGCTCTTACAGATAATTCCAGGGCGACTCTGGCAGAGTGTCCCTTAAAGAAGTGCCTGCTAACTGCTTCCCGGGGGACGGCTGACTTCCACGCCTGAGACCCGCCCCTCGGCTGTACTCAGACTATGTGCAATCACCACTGCGTTTCTTTCTCTCCCTAGCAAGACAGGATGATTAGACCTGCTTTAATCTATTAAAAAGGTAAGTTATTCACAAACTTTAAAGGTTTTAGTTGAAACAGCCCTCACAACTACTGAGCCAGCAGAGCAGGACCCAGTGCCTGCTGGCTCCCCTGGGGCGTCTGCAGTATGATGTCTTGTCTGCCTCTCACGTAAGCCGGGTGCTTCTATGGGGCTGCTACCCGTTCCAAGTAAGGGACATCCAATCAGCCAACGCCTTCTATCGGCCAGAAACAAATGGCTTTGGGAGAAGTGATTTATTTTCTTCTACTTACTTTCTCACTCGGGGCATCTTCCTTCTCGCTCACATCACACACGACTTCCTCCACCAGCACGTACTCATCAGCAGGCCCTCCCTCTCTGGCACAGGGGAGACCCCCTCGCTGGCCGCTGGCCCGAGCACCACACTGCGAGAGGACATCTCTTTGGCTACAATGGATGTGGGACAGAGGTGCAGGGACCTCCGATAAGTGTTTATCGAAGCCGTTTGCAGCCAGTGGGTCATGCCCAGAGCCGTCCTGCAGGCGGTCTGATGGCTTGCTGGGATCCTCCGAATCATCTGACTTTCCCAAGTCTCCGTTCGTCACAGAAAGTTTCGTTCTATCTGCTATGGATTCTATTTTGGAAACCATTTCAGAGTTCATCTCATCATGCAATGGAACGTCTTCATTCTGTTCTAGGCAAGGATGCTCAAGTGGTTTTGTGTAATCTTCAAGGATTCTATGCACTGTACTCTCATCCTTCCCCTGTCTTCGTATGAGCTCTGTGGCCCATTCTACACTACGCTGATACCTGAAAAATAGAAATAGTGTTAGCAACAACACTTGAAGAATTTAAAAGACAACAGACAAAAAAAAAAAAAAAAAAAAAAAAAAAAAAAAGCCCATAAAAAAAAGACAACAGAACATGTAAAAAAGATGAGAAGGTAGTATGCCAAAATGTTTACAGTGTTTTTTCTCAATGGTGAGCTATAGGATATTCTTTATACTTTTCTGCATCCTCTAACTGTTCTACAATGAACATGTACTACTTTTGTTTGCTTTTATTATAGAGCTTCATTTAATTTCCTGAATTAAAAAAAAAAATTAACCTCAGTTTAGCAAAGTATGACAATTTGTGTAATTTAAAATTGATTTTGGTAAACAAAAAGAGAAAATGGCCACTCTTTGTCAGACCTTGTTCTGTGCTATTTTCAATTTTAGGTATTACATTTTCAGATATATCTTCCATTCATAACATAAAGAGTCTTTGTTTGGTATTGGAAAGCAAAAATGAACATTTCGATATTTTTCACAGTACCTCCTAATGTCTCAGTGGAGGTCACATGGAAAAAAACGTTTACGATTATGTACATACAGCCAAGCAATCTAACAGAAAAGGCTCCTTCTTCCATAATTTTTGAACTATATTTTAACGAGAAAATACATGCTTAGTTTCTTAAACTTGAAGGCAAACCCTGAACACCTCCCGGTAACAGAATTTACAACAAGACAACAGGGCTCCGTTCTGCTGACAGCAGGCACCTAACGATGCTGCTGGGATGGTGCATGGAACGCGAGGTCTCGCCACGTGTGGGAGATCCCGCCTGCGGAAGGCCAAAGACTGTGAAACTCACCGCAATCAGTGTCAAAAGCACCTAAGAGGACACATGGCTTGTGAGATGTCAGATGTAATTTCAGTCTTAACCTTGAGTATTTTGCCTGCATGGGGATGACTGACTGTCACAGCTTATACACTGCTACATCCCACACACAGTTAAACAAGGAAGGTGGCTTCCGCGGTATTTGAAAAGGACATCTGTGGCTGCTTAATCCTAATCCATCAGAAGACTCTCCAAACTCTCCACATCCTGTTTATTCTACGTGGGGATGAACATGCATTCCTGTATACTGGGGACAGTCTGTTAGATTTAAAAATTAAAACCTTTCAGGGCTACTCCAACACTGAAAAAAACAGGATGATGCAGCGATGACAGGCATGGACTCTGGCCTTGCACATTTTGTGGTCAGCCCTGATTCTGACACTTATAACTGTGCGACAAAGCCAATTACTTAACTTCTCTTTAAGATGGGGAAAATGGTACTACTGCCCCAGAAGGATCATGTTATGAACTACTTTTTATAACCAGGGCAAAAAAATGTAGCTGCCCATGCAACAGTGAGACGCCTTTCACCGTTATGAGTATGGTCACTGGTGCATGCAGTTAAAACTTTCACCTGGGAAGAATTAGAGATCATCATGCTGAGTGAAATAAGCCAGTCAATGAAAGAGAAATACCACATGACCTCACTCATTTATGGATATTAAAAAACATTATAAACTGATGAACCAAAAGACAGATATAAAGACAGTAAAGCAACAAGCAGACTGTCAAATTACAGCGGGGAGGGGAGGGAGATCTGGGGGAGATAAGAGATCAACCGAAAGACTTGTATACATGCATATAAGTACAACCAATGGACACAAAACTCTGGGGAGAGAGAATATGTATGGGGGTGGCACTGTTAAAATATGTACACAGATAATAATTTAATTAAAAAAAAAGAATCAGAGGCATGGAAACAATAAAAAAACAAAAACAAAAACAAATAAACTTTCACCTGGTAGATCTAAAAATAATCTTCGCTCTTCCTATCACTTAAAGCACTGGTTCGATGCTTTCATGGGACTATACATCTTCTTCATTTGAACACAAATCTTTGTGTCCATGTATATCTTTCTGGGGAAGGGATCCACTTTTATTAAATTCCTTGACTCCAAATATATGAAAGAAGCACAGAATTAAAGATTCAACAGTTCCCCGCTTTGAGCAGAAGAGCTGGAAGAGAGAGAGACAGCACACACTGGTCACTGCTCTGCCCTCTGCAAAAAAGTGGCCAAGGCAGGTGTGAGTTCAAATCCTCACCCCACCTTGGTCTTGCACTAGTTGTGTACCTTCCTGAGGTTCAGTTCTTCTGTGAACCAGGGTCACTGAACCTACCTCCCGGGGCTGTTGCAGGGGTTTAAGGAGACAAGACACGTGAAGTGCTCGGGATGTAGCAAGTGCTGGATAAATGTGTTACTATATGATTGCCAAGTTTTTAGGGAGGCTTGAAAAATAAAGACAGTTTGACTCACTATATATCACATTGAAATGCAATCGACATTTTAATGAACGGAAATGTACACCTTAGCTAACTGCTCTTCGAGGGCAGGGGCAGCCACGTGGGGACAAGGACTGCACTTGGCGCTCCGCAGCTGGCACTGCTGCGATTCTCAGCTAAGCCACCGAGCACCTCCGACCTCTGTCTGCTTTCCTGACAGATGCCAGAATCATGACTGCATTTCTGTCTCAGAATGACCTCAGATATTTAGGGAAGCGCACGTGAGACAGTGCTACAAAAGTACGGAGAAAGAAAGACTCTAAGTAAGGCTGGTGATGCAAACAGCCAGACGCACAAATGACTAAGACACATGGCATATGGGTCATGGAACAGGTGTCCTCTCATTGGCTGGCAATGCCTTCAAGAGCCAAATCCTAGCGCAATTAACCCCGAACACTGCCGGAGAAACGCAGAAGAAAAGTGGAAGTCAGAAACACAGGGGAGGGTGGCAGAAGGGAAAGGTGGCAGCAGCTCTGGTCAGAAACCGTAATGAGACTGAGGAAAAGCAGGCCCATTTTAGGGCAACAACACAGATGGTACCACTTGAACACGCCCCAGCTCCTCGTGTTTCTATGCCTTGAGCACACCTCTTCCATTTCCACATCTTATTACTTAGTGCCCCTTTATCACTGGGAGTTCACAGCAAACTGGTTTTGAGTCAGTCTGCTTGGGTGCAAGTCCTAGCCGTGAGCAGGTTTAACCTCCTCTGGTTCTGTTTCCTCACTTGTCAAAGACAGAAAATAACAGGACCCACCCCACGGAGGGGCTGGAAGGACTTACGGAGACAATCCATAAACATGTTATTAGCATGGTACCTCACACAAGGAACGTATTTCAGAAATGCCAGCATATAAAACTGTATTATTCTCATTATGGTCAGTTCCTTTTAGGCTCTGGAGCTGGACTTCGTGGCTTAATCTCATGTCATCTTGGGCAAGGTAACTGCCGATTCCCATGTACGGGATCGGAAGGACTACACCTGCAGAAAGGTTTCTTAAGATGACCTGAGATGGCACATGTGTACAGACCAGTAACTGGCACTGTTGGAGCAACCAGAACCCACTGGCCATAATGATGAGGATGGTGTTGTTGGCCACAACCAGAAGCCAACATGAGGCGTGGAAGGATCCTCCCCTAGAGCTGTCTGAGGGAGCACAGCCCTCCGTGCCTGGGTTTTGGATTTCTGGCCTCCAGATCTGAGAATAAATTTCTCTTCTTCTAAGCCACTCAAGTTCGTGGTACTCTGTTATGTCTAGGGAACCAATACAGGGATCAATAACATCCTTGGAATATTACACTGCGGAGATTACAAGGGATAACCCTCAGGTAGATGACATTCAGAAACCTACATACTCAAACTGGCTTGATGTCACGTCACCTTTATTGCCAGCCTAATCAGGATGCAGCTGAGGGGCGGGCTTCTCTTTGGTTTCTTGGTCTCAGTGTGGGTTGCAGCGACCTGCCTATACTGCGGCCCTCCGGAACGCGGGTTCTGCCAGGTTCTTAGCAGGCCCCTCCCACAGCCTGGGGCCCTACCCCCACGCCCAGCCTGCAGTCTTAGCCAAAGCAGCCACTGAGATCTCCCCAGTGCCACTGCCTCCCAGACCCTCATCTGGCCACGGGGTTACTGGGCATGTGAACAAAGGGGGCTCTCGGATCCTGTCAAACACGCAGAAGCAGGATGGGGAACCACTGTGGGCTGCGCGCTTTTAAAGGCTTCCGAGAGGAGCTGTGACTCAAGCTGCTCCTCAGGGACGAGGAGGACTTGGATGGACTAACACAAGTCGACAAGATCCGACCAAGGGAACGCTGGTGCTGGGGCTGCCAAGAGGAACCAGACGTGGTCCCCGCTCGCTGAGAACTGACGTTCTAAATGTTGGGGTGTGACAAACCGTGCCGTGAGGGGCCCCAAAGCAGACTCCATGGAGCTGGAGGAATGACCTCCAGCTCAGCGGAGGGAAAGGCGGTGGAGAGAAGAGAAACTCAGAGAGCGACCAGCAGGCTGTGTGGAGTGTGGAGAAAGCCAGGCTGTGTGCACGAGTGCAGGGTGAGGGAGAAATGCTCCAGGGGAACAAAGCCCAGAGGAAGGATTCGCACGAGAGTGGACGAGGAAGGGCCTCTGGGAAAGCCTGTCCCTCACCCTAACGTGCAGCGAGGACTGGGCCGGGCGTGTAAGCCCACACAGCACAGGAAGCCAGTTCTAAACGGAAGTCTAAGCACCTTGGCACTTAAAGACATACACATTGCAGGGCAGTTGTTCATATTCTGGAAGGAATTCAACTTGCAAAGGATTTGGTTTAGGATTATTTTTAAAAATAAACTTAGTACAATATTATTTGATTCACATTAAATTCAGATACATTTCAAAGACTATTCAAAAAAAAAAAAAAAAAAGGCATGAACTAACCACATCAGAAAAGGTTATCTAAAAATAGACCCCTTTAAGCCATAATTTTGACCAAGGCCGAAGTTCACCATGACTTACTTCTTTGATGTGATTATAGGCATATTTGTCTTCATATCTGTAACAACAAAGAAGTTCTTTTAATTCAGACAAATTTTCCTTAAGGAGCCCAAACACTGACAACCTAGAAAACACTAAGGGTGTTTCAACATCCACAAAATCACACACCTAGAAGGCTGACTGCCCAACCAGCAATGGCAAATATGTGCTTTATATGCCATCACTCCTGCACACAAACCCCTGGCAGGCTCAGCTGACCAATCAGTGCTCTTGCTGGGCTCAGATGTGACCTGGGAATCCTTCTCAACTCAACACTGCAGCTAAGCAGGCTGGCATGCAAGAGGCATCCTTTCTGCCACCTCTGGAGGCTCATGCTCTTAAGTTTCAGATGAGAATTCAGAGGCCCTAACGTTACCCTCAATGCCCTGTGCTACATACAGCATCGTCAGTGAAAGCTGTGCCCGTAAGAAGGGCTGTTATAGGAAGTTTCATGGTGGAGTTTGGGTGTGAATCTGCATACCAGGTGACTCTCTAACCAACTGAGCTACCCAGTCAGGGTTTTGGATATGGACTGAGAGTTCTGGGCTCTATTTCTAGCTCCGGGTATATGGTTGAGGGGGTCTTTCCACCTAAAATGTTTATTGGATGGGCCTAGAGGGTATTCTGCTGAGTGAAGTTAGTCAGACCCAGAAAGACAAACATCATATGATTCCACTTACACGTGGAATTGAGAAAACAAAATAAATGAAAAAGCAAAAGAGAAACAAACACACAGACATAGGGAATAAACTGATGGTTGCTGGGTGGGAGAGATGTTGAAGGGTTGGGTGAAAAATATTTGTTTCTGTGTCGCTCTCCCTCTCCCCTCTTTTCTGAAATCAACACAAAACAAACAAACAAACCACAACATAACCATCAGAGGACACAGAATGTCGTGTTGACTCTTATGTCATCAGCACCATGCTGACCAATGCCTAGATCTAATAATTCATTAGAGTTTGCAAAACAGTGACATTCTAATCCTACTATTTATTCTTTATTATCGGGATTATTCTATAAAGACAGATCCCTCACTATGTGGCTATCCTAGGAACCAGTCATATATTCCAGTTTTCAAAATGATGTATCCTCCATAGGTGACTGACGAATTTCTTCTGGCATGTGTCAGAATGATCTAAAGGATTCAAGCATTTTGGTGGTATTGTTATGAATGAATACATTTTAAAATAAATTGTAGTATTATTCTTATCAATGCCCAAATGTTTCCGTGGCCTCTTTTGAAATAAGCCTAGTAGTTTTGGTAGCTTCCTTGCTTCCTGGTACAAGATGTTTCATCTAAAAAATCCTGGCTGCTCTTAACCACACCATCAAAATTATTGATTTGCTTAATTATACAATATACATACCACAGGCTCAGCATAACTGTAACACTACAACCGATAAAATACTTGCTGAAAACAATGTGAAGATTATTTTGTAGCTCTTTCTTTCTTTAGAGTACATGGCAGGTGGACTGCCCCAATTCTTCAGGTCTGCCATCTGCCAAACCCTCTGACGCTGGGCCAGTGAAATCTCAGCAAGCATGATGCAAGTAGACTGCCCCCTCCCCCTCCACCCCCCTTCCCCGCCATTCCTCATCCCAGTTGAGGCCATCTTAGACCAGTTGACAGCCAAACAGACAATCAGTGAGTCCCGCTAGATCCATTACTGGACTAGACCCATTACAGCAACCAGTTGACCCATGACTAACATAAGAATGAGCCCATCCAGCCAAGATCAGCACACCTACCCAGCAAACCTATAGACTTGTAAGCAATTTGGCTGCTACTGAAAGCCATGGAAATTTGGGGTGGTTTGTTAAATAACATTATAGCAAGAGATAATTGACGGAAAGTCTATCCCGTTAGAATTGAATAGTCAAGTTATCATGTTTTGAAGTCATTCAAAATCGTTTCCTCCTTGTGGCTATACCACTAATTTGATATACAGGCTCTTTTTTATTTCAAGAATTACTCCTACCAGCAATACATGAGAGTTTCTCTCAGGGCCTCACCAATGGTCAGACTTTTGGATTTTTGCCAATCTAATTGCTGAAGTGTCTCAGTAGCGTTGTTTTTTGTTTGTTTGTTTTACAATATAATGTTTTTAAAAATCCTTTCTAGCCCTGCCTGGTGTGGCTCAGTTGGTTGGAGCACTGTCCCATGCACCGAGGGCTATGGATTCGAATCGGATACATGGTCGGATACATGGTGTGGGTCCAATCGCCGGAGGGGCATCTATGGAGGCAACTGATCAATGTCTCTTTCTTTCCCTTCCTTTCTTGTTGTAAAAATCAATGAAAAGCATATCCTCAGGTGAAGATTTTTTTAAAAATATTTTTAATTGATTTTTTACAGAGAGGGAGAGAGAGCGAGCGAGCTAGAAATATCGATGAGAGAGAAACATCGATCAGCTGCCTCCTGCACACCCCCTACCGGGGATGTGCCGGCAACCAACGTACATGCCCCTGACCAGAATCGAACCTGGGACCTTTCAGTCCGCAGACCGACGCTCTACCACTGAGCCAAACTGGTTTCGGGCCTCAGGTGAAGATTAAAAAAATCCTTTCTAATTATGTTTTAACCTGATATTGGCTATGTAATTACCATGAGACTTCCCAAGAGAAATACACTAAAAGATTTATAAAGAGGACCAGCAAGTGAGAACTACACACATTACTATGTTTTAACAAATACATCAATGTTGTTAAAGTTGTTGTTGTAAATTCTAACTCTAGAAATAAAACTCATTTTGCATTCAGGTGAGCAGGTACCTAATTATCACCACCTTTCACATGCACAATACTCTTCTAGGCAATGCTTAACAACAAAGCCTGAATAACACTTTTGATAATTCTAGAAATTAGATAAAATGCATTTCAATTTAAAGAGCCTTTTCACCTTTATTAGAATGATTCTAACTACTATTTTTAGCAATAAAATTGTCAGTGTGCATCTTACTTCTCCACTAGAATTTTATGATATAATCCGAGGTGCAGGTTAAAAATGAAAGAAAATAATACTTTGCCACAAGAACTGAATGACATGCAAGTTACCTTTCCATTTAGCAACCAGCTTGGGATCTGAAATTGTGAAGTTTGGCCGGCTTCTAGACAGGATTCCTTTTCCAAAATAACCCTTCCAGGAAGAGAGAAAATAAAGTTAGTTCACCTTTAGTTATCAATTTTTTTAGCTGAGGGAGGATCACAATTTGAGTTAACAAAGTTTATTCCACTTTTCACCTTCCCTCTGATTATCTAATGAATACAAATACAGATTATCTAATAAAAATACAAATAGCATTTTATCTCTGTGATAAGTTTCTAGTATACCTCTTTTGTCTCATAACTAATGATTTCAGTCTAGGTCTGATAAGCTGAAGGCGACTGGGCGGGCAGAGACGGAACCTGTGTCTACCAGGTACAAAAAAGCTTCCTGGATTCTCTTGTACTCCTTCCTGCTGATTCCAAAACATCATGGGTCCCCCCACCCCATTTCTTAATTTAAGCCCACAGAAAACTGAAATTGAGAGGATAAAAAAATGAACATCTTTTACCCTCATTTAGATTTAACAGTCAGAATAAATAATCTGTATAGCAATTTACAAAGCTCCTATTTAATGTTATGTATTACAAATTTGAACAGACTACCTTTGGCTTAGACCTCCATCTAATCAAGGTCAATGCCACCCAACGTATCCCACTTTGGGAAGATGGTTAAAACAAACATCTATCTATCTATTTATCTATACACACACACACACACACACACACACACACACACACACACACGTATCTGTATATATATATGTACATATGTAAATACGCAACTGAGGATATGTTTTTATTATTTTAGAGGGAGAAGAGAGAGAGAGAGAAATATTGATGTGAGAAAGAAACATCGATCAGTTGCCTGATGAATGTGCCCTAACTGGGGATCAAACCTGCAACCTAGATATGTGCCCTGACCAGAATAGGACCAGCAACCTTTTTTGGTGTACAGGATGACGCTCCAACTGAGCTACCTGGCCAGGGCAAAACCTATATGTTTTATAAAAATGTCTAAAGAGGGCACATTTATAGCCAGGCAGTGGATCGCTGGGTGCCTTAGGCTGGGAGTGGAGCAGGGATTAAGTTCGAGGGCATGAAGGAACTTTCTGTGCAGATGGGAAGGCTCTAAAATGGGATTGTGGTGGTGGTTGTGCAACTCTATGAATTTATTACAATCACTGAATTGTACACTTACAATGGGTGCATTTTATGGCTGTAAATTATACCTCAATAAAGCTGTTTAAAAAGTGGCCCAGTGATGAACCGGCTATGAGGGGCAGGGAGGGGAGCAAGTTACCAATCTCAACCCTAACCTATCATCAACAAAAATCAGCAAAAACTATACAACTTGTCCTCAGCTAAGAAGAGGTCCCCAACTTGAGAGAGAGCAGATGCGGAGCCAGAGTGAGTACATGCTGAAGCCTCATCTGATCTGTCCATGAGCCAGGCAATATGCCACTCTGGTTACCTCTGGGGATGGAAGGGGAATAAGTGGGGAATTTTAACTTTTTACCCATTAATTTAATTTCTATAAACTGCTTGAAAATTTTAATAAATATATTTTATTGATTTCTTATAGAGAGGAAGAGGGATAGAAACACTGATGAGAGAGAAACATTGATTCAGCTGTTTCCTGTACACTCCTTACTGGGGATGTGCCCACAGCCAAGGTACATGCCCTTGACTGGAATCGAACCTGGGACCCTTCAGTCCACAGGCTGATGCTCTATCCATTAAGCCAAACAGATTAGGGCAGTGGTCATTAAACTCATTAGTCACCAGAGCCGAATATCAACAGTACAATGATTGAAATTTCTTTTGAGAGCCAAATTTTTTTAAAAATATATATTTTATTGATTTTTTATAGAGAGGAAGGGAAAGAGATAGAGAGTTAGAAACATCGATGAAAGAGAGTCATCGATCAGCTGCCTCTTGCACACCCCCTACTGGGGATTTGCCCGCAACCAAGGTACATGCCATTGACCAGAATCGAACCCGGGACCCTTCAGTCCCCAAGCCGATGCTCTATCCATTGAGCCAAACCGGTTTTGGCGAGAGCCAAATTTTTTAAACTTAAACTTCTTCTAACACCACTTCTTCAAAATAGGCCCAGGCCGTGGTATTTTGTGGAAGAGCCACACTCAAGGGGCCAAAGAGCCGCATGTGGCTCACGAGCCGCAGTTTGTGGACCATGGGGTTAGGGCATGAATTTTTTTTTTTTTTTAACACAATGAATATGCATTGCTTTTTATAACTGAAAGATAAGAAGGGTCAATGTTACCGACTCTACTTTATTGTTGAAACGTGGGTCCAGGGTGGGGCAGTTATCCTCATAATATATGCCTTTAGGGCACCTGAGTCAAACTGTAGTGTTCCTACAGGAGACTGAATAGCAAGAAGAGAATCCGGGTCATTTATGGTCTGTTGTGGGAGTGGATGGAGAGGAGGAGGAGGGAGAGCTGGCTCAGGGTTATCAGGAAGTAGCTGTGCCAGGGCCCCTTGTACTCACTTTCCCATACAGCTGCTCAAAGTCTTCTGCGTTCCTCACAATCACATTGTTGTTTATCATCTCAGCACGGAATATTCTGAAGTCTTTCTGACCAAAAGGGATTGGAAATGGAGACTCGTAATTCTCATACACTCTTCTTTTCCTCTTTGGGGCATGGAAAATGGCTTCCGCCATTTTTCAAGTGTAACTGTTCTTCAAAGAATACAATGAAGAGAAAGAAACAGTCAATCAATAACTACACTGATAAAAAAAAAAATGTAAGTACACTTATACCCAGGCTCAGAAAACCTAGGTCTATGGGAAATATAAAATATTTATAAAGCAGTGAACTAAAGGACACAGAGTCACAAGAATACTTTGTAAAAACAGTGCAAATCTCATTCACCTAGAATATCTCAGTTAATTCCTAAAATAATGCCCAAGAAGTCAGTGGCATTATTTCTAACTACAGCTGACAAGACTGAGGCCTTGTGATATGCCCCCAAAGTCACAATGCTATGCAAAAGTCTCCTAAAAGCCAGCACAATAGGACTCCTGCCTATTAGGGTGGCTCCCATTCTTTCCCTCAGCCAATAGACTTCTAAGGAGTACCTATCAGGGCTCCTAATATCAGAGGTGCTGGGGATATAAAGATAAAACCAAGAGACCCTGCTCTCAAAGAATTAAATTTAGTGAGCACTTCATTTAAAAAAAAAAAGGGGGGGGGTTAAAATACATTCCAAACATTATGTCAATCATCTTCCAATTAAAAAAAAAAGTGTATTGATTTTGAGAGGAAGAGAGAGGGAGAGAAAGATAGAAACATCAATGATGAGAGACAATCATTCATCAACTGCATCCTAAACACCCCCCACTGGGGAGTAAGCCCAAAACCTAGGCATGTGCTTTGACCTGGAGTCAAACCATGACCTCCTGGTTCATAGGTCGATGCTCAACCACTGACCCACACCAGCCAAGCAATCATCTTCCAATTGTTAAGGTAAGTTGATAAGTAAAAATGACAACAGCAATTCCCAATTAAGGGTCCACTGTGTACCTCCAATTGGAATGGAATTGGCTTTGCTACTTCCTAGTCGTGCAACTGTGGGCAAAGGTTACCTAATCTCTCTGTGCCTTGGTTTCCTCATCTGCAAAATAAGAATGAAAACAACCACCCTCTATGTTACAGTTGGGACCCATCAAGTGCTTAGAAGAGTACCCAGTTCACAGTGAGCGCTGTGTGTGTATTTGATATAATTAGTATTATGGAGTGAGCACTACCAACATCATTATATAGATGAGGAAATGGATTCAGGTTCAAGATATATATATATATATATATAAAACCCTAACATGCAAATAGACCGAATGGCAGAACTGAAAAATTGGTTGCTATGGCGTGTGCTGACCATCAGGGACACACGTGGAACATGACGGGCAGGCTTCAGCAGCAAGCGGCAGGATGGTGGAGCAGGTGAGCAGGGGCACCAGACCAAGGCGGGGCACCAGTCGCTGTCATCAGGGTGAGCCTCTGGTGGTTACTGAAAATTCTTTGTTCCCACACGCTGTGGTCCCGCCCGGCTCTCACACCTGCTGTGGGCACCGGTCCCATTTGCACCTGCAGCCTGTGCCGGAGCCACTGCTTGCACCCGCTGACTGCTGGCACCAGCCCTGCTCGCATCTGCTGCCTCTGCTGCTGGCGCCAGCACCGTGTCATCAGCGGGTATGAGCAGGGCCAGCAGTGGGAGCGGGGCTGCCAGCAGACAGGGGACCAGGGGTGCAGTGGGAGGGGCCGGCGGGGGTGCAGAGGATGGGCCCCTGTTCCTTTCGAGGTGCACTAGTCCTATATAATAAAGAGCTAATATGCTAATTAGACTGAACAGCCGATCGACCTTCTAGACATCCTTCTGGACATCCTTCCAGACGACCTTCTCGACACAGCTGGGACTGCGAGGGCCGAGCACCTTGCACGAATTTCGTGCATCGGGTCCCTAGTGTTATATAAAAGGCTCCAGGGTTGGGCACTAGGCCATCCCAGGTTTGCTGAACTCCAAAGCCCATGCTCTTTGCTCCAGGTTCTGCATTAAGCATAGCATCTGTCCCCCTTTGTCTGAAGCCTCACTGTTTCTTAAGGCTAGAAGCTAAAGGGTTATGGAGAACTGTGGGACCACTTACTGTGCACTGAGCAGCAGCAGGGAGTCAAGGAAGCTGAAGCCAGTACCTCTCCGTTCCAGGCCTCACACTCAGTCTGAGACAAAACAAGCACCGAACAGGCTGCAATTCAGTAACGGCGGAAGGAAGGAAATAGAGTTGAGTGTATTGTGCGATAAAAACACAGAGCCACGGCAGATGCATTTAACTTAGGAAAACTCAACCATATGCAAGGGGGGAAAAATGTAAACAGGGCAAGAGATTGGCCAGCCACCCCAAGCGCTGAGCAGACGCCCTAGAATGAGACAGAAGACCTGAATCTGCTGCTCCCTCAGTCCTGGGTCTAGACTCGATTTAAGCTGAGAATGTGTCTGCTGCTTGAAGATACAGTGGAGCCCTTTTACAGATGTGTAAAGTACACGGCTCCAAACCCTCACAAAGAAAGAAATAGGACTCATTATTTAGGTGCCTCCTCCATTCAAAACCAGCATCCCACTGGGCACGGGATTAACCAAGCCCAACCGACACAGGCAATGAAAAGTGGCCAAAACTGAGAAAGGAAGTCAGTGGTCTGAAGGACTCATGATCACTCAAATAAATAAACAAATAAATAAAATTAAAAAATTAAAAGCTTTGTCCAATGTATGATGTCTTTATCCACCTTCTCAAAGAAGTTGAGGAATAAAATGAGTACAAAGAAAAGCACAGATCAAGGAAGAGTCAGAGAAATTGATAAATCAGTTACAAAGATAACGGTGAAAAATTAGATCAGCAAGTCAGAACCTTCATATAACTGCCAAAGAAAATACTCCACGCAGCAAAATGCTAGAATAATTTCTAAGTAAAATCCCTCAATGTAATCACATACTGAGCATGACTTGACTGAACACATAGTGTACACACACACACACACACACACACACACTCAAAACAAAACCATGTATACTACATGTCAATGGGCAATTAAGAGATTTTCTTCCAAGGGAATCTTAACTAGATTTTTCACTTGCTGACATATTCCTCAACCTAAGTCAGCTCTTTGGTATGCAACTGTAGAAATACCAATTTATTTTAAAACTTAAGCAATACTGTATTAGCTTTTCTGAGGCAGGACATTGATCTCTAGTGAGAAAATTTCTAGGGATTTCCAGGAGCAATTCAGACTTTTATGAGACTTTCACTTTTATAATTTAACCTTTTGTTAATATCTGACTTGAATATATTACATTTGGAATTATTATTTTTTTAAAGAAAATACTTAATGGCTAACTTCAAGAACTTGCAATTTAAATCATCTCAAATGAAATGAAAAGTTGTGTTTTAATTTGTCTGATTTGTTTAGGATTTTCCCCTTTCTGATGGCAAATGTACTCTAAATAAGCAATACTGAGGTATGACACTTGATGACAAGAACTCTTGCCAGGCCAGTGTGGCTCAGTGGTTGAGCATTGACCTATGAACCAGAAGATCATGGTTTGATTCCTAGTCAGGGCACATGCCCAGGTTGCAGTCCTTGATCAGTTGTAGGAGGCAGCCTGGAGGCCCAGAGCACAAAATTCGTGCTCTCCGGGAGTTTGGGGGAGAGGGGTCCCTCAGCCGGGCCTGAGCCCTCTCACAGTCTGGGAACCCTTGAGGGATGTCCAATTGATGGCTTAGGCCCAGGGGGAGCAGGCCTAACCTTGCAGTCAGATATCCTTAGTGCTGCCACAGAGGCAGGAGAGGCTTCCCCTGTGGGAGCGCACTGACCACCAGAGGGCTTCGAGAGTCTGCCCCCTAGTGGTCAGTGCAAGTCATAGTGACCAGTTGTTCTGCCATTCGGTCAATTTGCATATTAGCCTTTTATTATATAGGATGTTTCTATCTTTCTCTCCCTCTCCCATCCTTTCTGAAATCAATAAAAATATATTTTTAGAAAACCAACTCTGTACTCCAATCCAAGTGTATGTGATAGATTTCTTGCCAAAAGTTTTTCACAAAACCTCAATAACCAGGATCTAGTGTCATCTCTGCCCCATTTGACAACATGCACATCAAGGATTTGGCTCCTAGTAGGCCTTCCATATATACAAAGATGTCATTATTATTGTGTGACCTTCACAATCCACTTAAGCTCTCTGAGCCCAGTTTCTTCATCTTCAAATTGAACAGGACTAGAAGATGTTAACCACAGAGTAACCAAATGTTAACCACAGAGTAACCATATGATCCAGCAATTCCACTCCCAGGTACAGATATTAAAAAAGTGAAAGAATCTTGTTCATACAAAAATTTGTATGTGAATGTTAACATAAAAGCCAAAAAGTGAAAACCACCCAAATATCCATCAACAGATGAATGAATCAACAAATTATAGGATATCCATATAATGGAATATTATTATCTATACTAATAAAAGGGTAATATGCTAACTAGACCGGGAGACCTTCCAGATATCCTTCTGGACAAAGCCATGGTGGCGTGGCCGAGGCAGAGGTGGTTAGGGGCGATCAGGCCAGGAGGGGAGGGCAGTTGGGGGTGAGTAAAATTAGGAGGCTGGCAGGTGAGTAAAATTAGAAGAGGTCGCCAAAACCGGTTTGGCTCGGTGGATAGAGCATCAGACTGCGGACTGAAAGGTCCCAGGTTCGATTCCGGTCAAGGGCATATACCTTGGTTGCAGGCACATCCCCAGTAGGGGGGGTATGCAAGAGGCAGCTGATCAATGATTTTTCTCTTATTGATGTTTCTAACTCTGTATCCCTCTCTCTGTAAAAAATCAATAAAAGAAAAAGAAAAAAGAAGAGGTAACCATCATCGGTAAGTACAATGCATTGCAGTATGCTGCACAGGTGGGTACCACTCTCCTGATTTCACAGACACAGAAACCCAGGCTTAGGGGAGGAAGGCTTTGTCCAAAGCCCCGTTGTTAGGGAAGATGTGAGGTTTGTAAGGCAGGGAGACTGGCCTATAAGGAGCCCACGTTCGAAGCACACACAGATGTACAGGAAGGCCTGGGTCAGCTGTCAGCGAGTGTGGGATGTGAAGGTTGGTTGGTTTGGTCTTGGAGACAGTGTAGGTCATGACAAATGAAGATAGATGAACCACCTTCACCTGGGTCGGCATATAACCGCGGCTCTCAAGCTTCGCTGCCCTTAGAATCACCGGCGCTAAATTAAAACTCCTAGGCCTTACTTGCAATTACATCAGAAGTCCTGGGGTGGGACTCTGGTGATTTCAACATGTATGCAGCCCAAGTTGCCAACCACTGCTTACAGGGCAGCCTACTTCAACGCACTTAATCCCAACAGCCCCCTGGTCCCCACTGCACAGACAAGGAAAGGGATTCAGAAGGGCTGAATGCTGTGTACCTGTACGAGGTTGTTACTCTTCCTTTCCCAATCCAGGGCATGCCTGGTGAATTAGTATAGATAACAACAATATTAGTATAGATAATATTAATTCCAGACGCCCCAAGTGCTAAATATATTTACCTTTCTATTAAGAGCGGGGCTTGTTCTTCATTCTTCCCCTGAGCAGATAAGCGAACACCTTGTAGGTGTGTTCCACACATGTTCATTCCAAACAAAACAAAGCAAAACCAAAACCACATGTCATCTTCCAACTCGCTGGGCCCACTTAGCCTTCGCAAGCCTGGTTCGAACCTCCCACCCTGCGAGGCTCGCCTTCTCCCAATTAAAGAAGCGTTTGAACTCCAACGGCTCCCCGCGGGGGGCCAGGGATAAAAGGGGCGAGGTCAACAACCCTGCCTCTGGGGCGCTTTCAAGTTAGAACCTAAGACGAAGACACACAAACAAACAGCAACCCTTTGAAGGCTGTGGTGAGGATTACACAGGGAATGAATGGTGGGAAGGCGCACCGTCCGGGGGGCAAGTGCTAGCCAGACGGTAGGTGCAGGCACATGTCACACAAGCCAAAAAGTGTGCAGAGCCCAACAAAGTCGTAACTCCATCTTAACTCATCCCTTTGCTGGTTTCCTGCAGTGCCCGCCATCCCTACCCCTACTCCCACCCCTCGCAACCCCACTAGCGGCTGAGGTTCCTCCTCCCGGGCAGAGGCGGGGGGGCAGATGCACCTCGACATCCCCAGCCCTGGGACGTGACATGAACATTTGCAGGAAGAACGAAGAAAGAGAAATAAGTACGGAAGTGCACGAGGAGGAGGAGAGGCGTTCCTCCCGGCAGCCTAGCTCCTCCTCCCGGCCCAGTCTGGCTGCGGAGCCGGGGGAGAGGCTCCGGACCCTTCCCTCTGGCCCGCGGCGCTGACACCTCGCCTCGGCGCCCTGGGCTGGGCCCACCGCGCTCTGCGCCCCAGCGCGCCTCCCGCCCCGAGGCCTGGCGCCTTACCTGCGTCCGCCCCACGCGCCCGCCGTTACCCCGACAACGCCGGCTGCGGGGGCGGACACCTCTGCCGTCAAGCAGTGCGGCCGCAAAACTGGAGGAATGCGCAGCCGCAGAGCCCGCGGCGCGCTCGCCGCGTCTTCGCTGAGTGCGCATGCGTGCAGCCTGGAAGCGGGGCGTGGGGTCGGGTGGCGGCTGTTCTGCGCGTGCTGGTGGAAGCCGAGGCAGCAGGGCCTCTCCTTGGGTTACTATTCTCGTTTAATTCTCACAACAACAGTCCCGCAGGACCCGATGTACAGATAAGATCCGAAGCCACTGCCAGCAGCTAGTGGAGTCCTGGTATAAAGACTTGGAGTCCTCGTCCCCCTGGGGCGATGGGACGCTGAGCCCACGGGCTCATCACCGGGCCCTGCCCCTGCCCCGTCCCAGCTTTCTCAGTGCACACGTACACGCTGCCGCCTGCAGGTGTGAGGAAGCGCCCCCTCGAGGATAACGGACCCCGAGCCGCTGTGCGCTGGCTGCCCTGTGCAGTGCAAAGGACCTCACACCGGGAGTCAGACCTGCATTTCAGTCCCCACCTTCTCCCTCCCTGGCCGTCTGCAATGGGTGACTTGGATGAGCGAAATTTAAAAAAAGAAAAAAAGAAAGAAAAAAAAAAAAGCGCCTTGCGAAGTGTGAAAAGTTTCTCCTATCCTGACTATTTCACTTATTTTTTATTATATAGATTATTGTGGACAATATTACAGATGTCTCCCATTCCCCCCTCCTCCCCTCTTTACCTGGAGTTCTTCACTACCTTATAGCCCGAGTCCATGGGCTTGACCTGGTTATTTAAAAAAAAAAAATATATATATATATATATATTTTTTTTTTATTGATTTTTTTTCACAGAGAGGAAGGGAGAGGGATAGAGAGCTAGATGCATCAATGAGAGAGAATCATCAATTATCTGCCTCCCAGGCACGTGGGGATGTGCCCACAACCAAGGTACATATCCTTGACCAGAGTCAAACCTGGGACCCTTCAGTCTGCAGACCCCTCGCTCTATCCACTGAGCTAAACCGGTTTCGGCTGACCTGGTTATTTTTAAAGGAGGCCTGGTAGGGAGTTCAATATATATTAATACCTCCCCCAATATGAATCCCAAGGTCCCCAGTGCGCACACGGCACATGCTGGGCAGTTGGGAAGGCTGGTGACGGGGGATGAGGTGAGGTGTGACTGCCTTTGGAAAATTGGGACCTTTCCCAACTTTCTTGTCTCCAGGCCTTGGAACACGCTGTGCCTCTGCCGGGAACATCCTTCCCCGCTGTTTGCCGAAGTAATTCCTGGTCACCCTTTAGATCTCAGTTCAGATAGCTCTTCCTCCAGGAGACTTCCTCTTGCCTCCTCAGGCTGGCCTGGGTGACTTTCCCCTGTGTTCCCTGTTTCCTGGTCTTCCTTAACTGGATTGTGAGCTCTTGCTAGCAAGACACCATGTGCCTTGACTCCTCAGCTAAGGAGTTCAGACGTCAGATGGACCAGAATCAGAATAGCTTCCTGTGGGAGTGTTGCAAAAAAGAACTTCAGCAAGATTCGGAGAAGAGTGGTATTGGGAGGGATTGGGCAGGGAAGGAGAGAGCTGTGGGGAGGCTGTAATATTGCACCAGAACATGCCAATTTAGGAAACACTGGTTTTAGAATCAGAGAGTTTTAACAATGAAAGGCAACTCATAGGTTGTCCAGTTCAACTTCCTTATTTGACTGATAAGAAAAAAGGTTCAGAGGCCCCTTGAGCTGCCAGAGGTAGCCAAGCCAGTTAGGGGGTTGCTGAGACCACAGCCGTCTGGCGAGGCTCAGTGTGGTCTCCACACTCAGGCTTGGGATCCCCCCATAATGGGAATCTCAGGTAGCATCCCCTGGAGCCCCGTCCGCACAGAGGGTGCAGCAGAGAAATTACTGAGTAAGATATTCTCCCTAGATTTTCTCTCAAAGTGTATTTTAAGCTTTTTTATTATGGCATTTTCAAACATACACAGAGAATTATCTAATAAATCATCACTTCCACAACCCTCAGCCTTTGGTATCTTGTTTCTTTTACACTGTCCATACACACACCTTTATCCCACTGCTTAGCATTTCAAAGCGGTCCCAGACATAATTTCAATCAGCATATTTCAGTATGTATCTTTAATGTTAAAAATTTATTACACACCTATATACATATATAGAGAATTATAAAAAAAAAAAAATATATATATATATATATATATAATTCTCATTATTCCAGTAGTTCTATAGGGCAGCGTTTTTCAACCGCTGTTCCGCGGCACACTAGTGTGCCGCGAGATGTTGCCTGGTGTGCCGTAGGTGCAGACAAGACAAGAATTTTATAATTTTTCACTATTTTGTTTACTTAATATTTCATAATAAAATAATTATAAAATACTTTCTTTGTGTTTATTTGATTCCTATTCAAGAGAATTACTTTATATATAGTCAATATAGGCACAGAGTTAAATTTTTTAACATTTTCTAATGGTGGTGTGCCTGGTGATTTTTTTTCATGAAACAAGTGTGCCTTTGCCCAAAAAAAGTTGAAAAACACTGCTATAGGGTCAGTGTAAACACTGAATTAGTGAATACTGAAGCATTCCTCCTAGGACCTAGGGGAAAATATAGGGATAGATTCCTGCCAGTCTCTACATAACCGTTCAATACATAACCTTTCATCAACCATTCAATACATAACCTTGTCTTATTTGTGTTCCTATTTTAAAAATACTTCATGTAATATCGATAGTTGGCTCATTGACATCAAACCCATGGCAAATAGCACTAGAACGCATGCCTGAAAGAAGCTCATCTAACACACATATTTCCTCTGTAAGATACATCACAGCCTTCTTGACTTAGGAACACTCGACAGCACTTCAGCACTCTGCTTGGGGTCCATTGGAAACAGCAGAATCTCCAGAAAGCACAAAAATTCGAGAAATGATCCGCTGGGAGGTGCCCTTGGTTGGAGTACCCTCCCGGACACCAAAAGGTTGTGGTTTTGATTCAGCACACAGGAGGCAACCAGTCGATGTTTCTCCCACTTTCTCTCTCTGGAATTAATAAACATATTGTTGGGTGAGGATTAAAAACAGGCAAAAGCCCTGCCAGCGTGGCTCAGTGGTTGAACATTGACCAATGAACCAGGAGGTCACATTTTGCTTCCTGGTCAGGGCACATGCTCCGTTTTCAGGCCCCATCCCCAGTGTGGTGTGGGCAGGAGGCAGCTGATCAATGATTCTCATGAACCCGAGATCCATGCCTGTCCTGCGTGGCTCAGTGGTTGAGCGTTGACCCATGAACCAGGAGGTCACGGTTCGATTCCTGGTTAGGGCACATGTCCGGGTTTCGTGCAGGAGACAGCCGATCAATGATTCTCTCTCAGCATCGATGTTTCTATCTCTCCCTCTCCCTTTCTCTCTGAAGTCAATAAAATATTTTTAAGTAAAAAAAAAAAAAAAAGTGCAAAACGTGGTATAGACTGGTAAGAAAAAGATATTTATGGAATGAGAGCTGAAACAAAAGACTATCATCTGTATATTGCAGCTGAGAATGTGCATTCTGGAAGGAAAAAACTCCACATTTGTTCTCCACTCTGTGTCTGCGTGTCTGTGAATGACCAAGCTCTGTGAGTACTGATTTTGGCTTTACAAATAAAATTTAGCCAGTAGGTGTATTTACAAGTGCAGAATCCACCAATAACGAGAATTGACTCTCTCTCTCTCTCTCTCTCTCTCTCTCTCTCTCTCTCTCTCTCTATATATATATATATATATATACACACACACACACAATATAATCAGCCATTTTGCATCCTATCTTAATGATCATCACAACCTTATGGGACAGTGTTCTCACTGCTCTTCTATTGCACAGCTGAGATTCCCTCCCTCTCCCAAGTTCCCAGAGCTGGAAGCCGAGGAGGCCAGAGGAGGGCTCTAGATCCAGGGACCACGGGGCTTGCATTTATTTGGACCCATCACGCTGGATATGAGGGAGAGCAGTGCGTGGTCAAAACACAGCTTTCAATTCGGAAATACAAAAACGACGCGCACGTGTTGGTGGGAGGTCAGGGAAGAACTGGGATGGGTTGAAGGACCCAGGAAGCTTGAGCTGAGCCTGGACGGAGGGTTAGCCTGGGGAACACGGCGGCTCCACGTGCCAGGCAAGTGTGGACTTTGAGGTTCCGGGCGGGCCGGGCCTGCAAAGCTGGAGGTCGGAGCTGCAGATAAGGGACCAGATAGGCGGGGCGGGGCGGGCGCGTGGGGCGCGCGCTCGGCTTCCAGGCTCGGCCTTTGGACTTCACTCCGCAGACAATGGGGAGCCGGCGGCGGCGTTTCTGAGCAGGGCGGGGCGGCTCCGAAGTCACCCACTGCTTTCCCGCCAGGTGGGGCCGAGCCCTGCAATACTCCGCCGAGTCCACTAGATGGCGATGTTCTAGCAAAGTTAAGCCGCAGGAGGGCCTCTGCAGACCCTGCGGCCAGGACACAAACCAGGCGCCTCGCAAAGCATGCAACGTGCAATGCAGGGATCGTGAAACCAAAACCCAATGAGGGACATAATTCAGCCTGACCTGGCCGGTGAACTTCAGATAACTTCAGAGCTCGAAGGAGAA